CCCAGCCAAGGAGGAAACCCCCACTCCCTCCATCCCAGCCAGCTCCAGTTCTAAATCCAGCTCCAACTGCTGCCCCCCAGCCTCCTGCCTTCTACTCAGCATCGCCCTACCCGCCGATCCCTCCCAGAACAGGCCAACCCTTCCCCAATGTCTCCTCCGGCTACCCCAGCCACTTCCTCTCTCAGTACCCCCCAGCCTTGCCTCAGAGGCCCCCACCACGTCTGGCCCCGCAGCCTGGCTTCATCATGCAGTAAATAAAGCCAGTTGCCACTCAGAGGACGCAGTGTGTGTCGTGGACTTCTCACTACTGGAACTCTTCTGAGAACTATTTTTCTACATCGTCTGCCTTCTTGGAATACGACCAATCACAACACAAGAAAGCAGACCTGCGCTGGCTGGTCTGGTCATGTTCAGCCGAAGCAGATCTCCAATAATCTCTGTGGATTCGCTCTCACATCTCACTCCCATCAACACTCCCAAACAAAAAATGATCGAGATCGGCCTCGCCAGCCCGAGTCAGTGGAAGGGCCCACTGCAGGCTGCTGTGGGTCACTGGGCGGGGACTTGTCATTTATCAGCACTTTGTGTCTCCTGGCAGCGCTCTGAGCTCTGCGCACCAATTAGTTTTCAGTCTCTCACATCCCTTCAAACATGTTCCTCAAGCTTTTAATGGAACACTAAAGTCGTTCAGAAAAGGGTTTGATTAGTCATCTCCATCTGCAGCATACTAATTTACTGATAATGTATATGCAAGCAAAGAGAGACCCTAATTACTGTGCAGTAGTCCCAGAATATATTCAGGTGAAACTGCATCTATGCTGTGATTTTTTTTATATATATATATGTATATCTAAAAATTCACAAGGTACATAGAAATATTCAAGTGTCAACATCTTTTTATGATATAGTACTAATGGAGTTACATTAATGATAGCCAGGATAGACTGATTAACATGTGTCAAGGAGGGCTTCGGTTGGTATATATCCTCTTCACTATGCGTATGTGTCTCAAGAGAGGCCAGACCTGCCTGGTTCAAGATGGCTGACTGTTGTACTTGGTGGTCCATCTCAGGGCAGAAGTCAAAAGGGAGCTGAAGGAGAAGAGTAGTGGCTGAACTTTTGTAACAAATGACTAGGCCTGTTGAGCCTCGCCTGAAATGAAGGATTTATGTATAGCCATACAGTACACTTCTGATGCGTGTTGTTTCCTGTGGGTTCCTGTTGTAATGCAACACTTCTTTTTATAATGTCCTTTGTCTTAAATACCCTCAGTTCGAGATTTCAGACAATGCCAACAGTTCTTTGGATCTCATAGGCCTGTTCAGTTTTCTGTCACACTGAGCACCAAAGACTTCCCTCATCACTCTGTTCAGACTTTTTCGCTAGTCTTTTTTTAATGTGAGTGAAACATTTAGTCGTTCCCTACATATCTGTTTGTGATGTTGAGCTCAAACACTCTTTTGTAAAAACATGCAAGCGAGATTTCTTCAAGAAGACCTTGCAAGGTCAAATGGGCTTTGGGAGAAAACTTTTTCTTTGTGGTGTGATAGAATTTTTTTTCCTCCCAACTGCTGTCGCTGTGCACTGTTGAAGAGCCACGAGTGCCTACACTTGAAGTGACGTTGAATGCGTCCTGGTGACTACTCCATGTTTCTCTATGCTCGGCTGTTGAGGTTAGAACCCCCCACCCCAAAACCCTTCAAAGAACAACCTGGCCAAGCCAATTTTGTCTGCTCCTCCTGCTACTGATGTTCCACCAGATGGTAGGAAAAGGCAGCGTCTGACTGTTGACTGTCAGGCTTTGCTTTCTCACTGGAAGCAGAAGGCCAGAGTAGAGCGATTCTGAACATGTGCCAGAGAGACAAGAGACGCCCTCAGGCTGCGTGCCTAGTGGTGCTTGTGCTTCTCCTCCATTCTTCCTCTGTTGTATTGAGGTTTGCCTGGGGTGAATTCAGAGATTTTTGCATGTGTTGTTGCCATTTTGTTTTTTTTAAATTGGTGAAATAACAGGGCTCCGTTTTGCGTCATATCTGGACGATAACACTTCACCTCAAGGCAAAGAAGTGGACCACAGAATGGACAAAACATACTTGTCAGCAGGCAGAAGTACAGAAATAGCTGAAGCTAAAACATCAACATCACAATGAACCAGCATTTCTAACAACTAACATTGGATAATTCTTTTGTGCATGGCCTTTGCTCGTTGTGTCCAGTCTGAAGATTCCTCTTTACTACTTCTCTTTTTTGTTTGTTTAGCTGTTGAGCTGCTTTTTACGTTTCAACTGATCCTCTCTCCATGGTTTTATATGTGGTTGGTGATATTTTCAGTGTAATGTTGTAGGTATTTACTTATAATGAATGTTTAAGTGGAATTTAATGCTATTTTCAAGTTAAATAAATCTCAATTTTTTGTATCTGCTTTTGTTCAGTTGCTTTTTTATTATACATGAGCACATCTGGCTTTTCACTTCATGCCTCACACCAGCTGACTTATGCAGTTATGTGTCTCGTAAGAACAGGCCACAGTTTTGCAGTATAACAGGTTTTCAGGCCTTTGTGACCGCTGTGGCTGGAGGATGTTTTCAGGTTGTCTGAATGTTCATCCCACTTTCATTAACGTGATATCTGAGGAATGCCTTGAGGGATCTTTAAACATTTGGCAGAGACATTCACAGATTTTGGTAATTGTTACCTCACAAAACACATTTTTATGCTTCCACGCCGGCGACAACCATGCCTGAGTTGTCTGTCCAATTGACTTGAATGTGATATCTCAAGAATGATTTTTGGGAATTTCCCCAAAGATTTTCCTCAAATAAGTCCACTTGGACTTAAAGATAAACTGGTTTTAGGATAAAATGATGAAGTGGTTATATTTGGTAAATACAAAAGGTCAAAGGTCAACTGCAATTTGACATTCAATGCTATAATGCAACAGAAGAGGAGAGATTTGGTCAGGTACTGAATTCTCTGATCTTGCGTGCCCACCTTGAAACAGAGCTAATTGTATAGATTTTGAAGATGTGTGTGAAGCATCCACATTTTAGAATTTGTTGCTTCCTTACAGCAACACCCAGAATTGAAGCATTGTCTACTGTCATGGCTACAACTTTGTGTTCTATCCTATACCTCTGATAGGCCACCTCAAACTCATTGGTGTGGTTTTGTTGGTAGTGAGCTTCACGTGATTGTCATCGCACCATGTGACAAAGCTCTATCAGATCTATATGTACTGTGCTCCTTGGTAAAAATATTTGCAGAGTGAAGACAGCCTGCTTTTTGCTGGAAATTATTAACTGGAATCGCACAAGATAGTGATAACTTCCATTTCTGCCAAAAAATATATTTAATACCTTTTGTAACTTTCTTCAAAGTCTTCATTACAGTGTGAACAGACATGCATGCAAACTGCAACTTGACTGGTAGGCAAACAACCCTGAAGCAGTAACACCAGTTGAAAATGAAACAAGACAGCCATCTAGTGTTCGTGGGCTGATAATGAATGACTTTTTTCAGGAACACTGATAAAAATCATGAAACTCCAGTTTCTTAGGGCCATGTTGCTTGCTGCTGGTCATCTCTTACAGTGCTAAGAGAAATAATACATTGCTTCATAAAAATATATCCATATAAATACTTCTCTACTACAATTATATCCAATATTTACTACCAAATCACAGTTATATTTAGTTTTCATGTAAAAACTGCCAAAGATATGCATTGTTGGAATGTTTAGAGTACTCCTCAAGACATGGGACAGAGGGTCAAATCGGGGAGAGCAAGGTCGGTTGGGACACTTAAGTATTGACATAAAAAAACCTTACATAACTCAGACAACTTGAACAGTCATGAATGTAATTTGATCCCTGAACAGATACAGGCATCTGCTAACAATTTTAGTATATATTTTTTAGAGCTTAACTCAAAGGGAGAGGAGCAATTTTGTTAAATGTACAAGCAGTACATCTTCCCAAAATTCTGCCTCCCAGGGACAGCTGAGACAATAGACAGGGTCTGAGACATGATATTTGGCTCCCTTGCAGGTCGTTTCAGTGGCACCTATCAGCTCAATTTGGTGTAGTTGCTATAGGCTACATGTGGCCTACAAGAAAGTCAATAATAACAACTTGAGAGTTTTTTTAATAAAATTAAAATGATACCAAATGATATTTTATATGTAGATTAATTTGTAATGTATTATGTCACTTGTTATATGTTGCAGGCTGGCTGTCTGTGACTTATGTGGCTTATTTGGACACTACATCAAATCAGCGTATTAACAATACGTGAAACAATTTGTGGTTGTGAATGCACCTCTGCGCCTCTAATGTTGCATTCAGGTCCCATTTTATGGATGGAAATTGAGTTTTTCCCATGGAAAAATACTAGTAACCTTTCTGAGTGCTTGCCTCTATTAAGTCCACTGAATTATATATATATATATATATATATATATATATATTTAAAATAAACAACAATGTGCAACTTCTAAACTTATTCTAAGCCTTATTTTCAAGCCAGTCTCATCATCATTTACAAGGCAAAGACCTCAGAGGCACGCCCACCAAAGCCAGGCTCCTATTTTAGAATGGGCGTGCCTTGTAGTGTTTTGTTTGTGGAGTAAACAAGCATCAGGTAGTCTGTTACAAAAAACAAAATTCCTTTATTTTCAGCTAAAAAATGTTAATTGAAGTTGTTGAATATATTTGTGTTGAGTGACTGTTATAAAAACTTTCGGGTGAATTCATTTTAATCAGGGAAACTCATGAAACGTTCAAATACAGTCGGGGAAATCCCAACACAAAGAACAATAAATGCTACAACTATGGACCTTATAGGTATTTGCGAGAAATATTGACGCATTTCACACGTCACCTGCCTCAGAGGCTTTTGCTCCGGTGCAGCAGTATTAAGAGGTATTTACCGTCCTTTGTGATCATTTGTGTGCGAGCAGAAGCAAAGAAAGAGGCTGGTCCTTTCAGTAGACAGGTTCGTATTTTGGAACGCACCCCTGAACCATGTGTCACGTTTCCATAGTCACGTCACATCGCCTCCACCATGTTGTAGGAAATCCACCGCTGCTCCTCACTCACTGTCAGATTAGAGTTTAATCCGAGGGGGAGGATACACTGTCAAGACGCTGTCTGCATCTTGGAAGGACTCTCGGTGTTTATGCATACAAAGTAACCGCGACTTTGCGTGAGACTGTAATTTTTTTTTACAATAAACGGCCTGCACGTAGAAGATGAAACACCAGTCTTCCGCTGCTGTCTTTGCCTGTCCGCCGACTTACCAAAACGTTAAGATGTTAGCTGGCTAACTAGCTGAAAAAGAGTAACTAAATCGGATTAGCTGCTAACGGCAGCCTCCCTCTACGTAATATCCAGGTATTATTTGCTGTAATTGACAACTATTAGCAAGCGGTCGCCTTTGTTCATTTGTCATTATTTAATACATTTCTTTATTCTTTGTCAACATTACCACTTTGTGCTGTCATTATTCGCTAGCATTAATGTTTCTGCGAGCTAGCTAGGTTATTAGCCAGCCGAAACACAAGAAGAGCTGAAGCTCTTTCGCTAGCTAATCTACTGTTTGTTGGGAAGAGCAAATATTAGTGCCTCCGACCACAACCGAAAGTCAAGACGGAGCTGACGGCCAGGCTGATTTGCTAGCTTGTCTTCGGGCCAGCTGGCGAGAGAGCTGTACAAGATTTTATCCCCCGAAATTAGCCTTCAGACGAATCAAAGATGTCAGGAAAGGATAAAGACAAAGACAAACAGGAGAAACAGTCCACAACGGAGCGGCTGATAAAAGGTGAGTGTTTTCTGTAAATGTACATGCGTACAGTAACGGGCATCATAAAGTGTGACTGAGAGCTAACGCGTGGATTTAAAACCACCTGTAGCTTTCGGGATAACTTCGATCAAACCCATCCCTGTCAAAAAAGGCGTATGGCTGGGTATATGTCATTATAATAGGCAGAAGCTAATAGGCATAAAGTGATATACAACGAAATGCATAGAGAGAAATTATTAGTAGACCATTATGGTTATATCCATAGGGGCTTCTAAGGGACTGTTCTGAACTAATCAGAGGAGGGGGTGGCTGGGGGGTGTGTGTGTGTGTGTGTGTGTGTGTGTGTGTGTGTGTGTGTGTGTGTGTGTTTTGTTTGTTTTTTAAACCCTGTCTGAGGCTACAAATACTTTTTCTTGAACCTCCCTGAGTGGCTGGGGGAAAATGCATGACCCTCCAACCACCATAAATTAGTTAAAAGATTTTAAAAACTTGCCCTTTGATGTTTGAAAGTTAAAGTTAGAGATGAAATCCTGCAGTTGGAAAAAAGTTAGACATAGAATGAAGTGTTTTTGATTAAGTGTCGCTATTTTAAGCTCAGATTAGTTTTTTTGTTTTTCTGATGGAAGCCTTCCTTCTACATAATGTGTTCAAGGACCGTCAGAAATTTGAAATTCCAATGCTGTTTCCTGTTGTTTACAGTTTCTGGCTGTCATAAGTGGATTAATTTTGTCAATTTTTAAAGAAAGAATGCCTTCCAAACAGTGTGTTTTCAGCATTAGTATACAAAATACAGTCATTTAAAGTTGTATGCTCCCTCCCCCTAAGTTAAAATAAAAAACATAAGTCCCCGTCCAGGGCTTAAAAAATTATTTGACATGCCTCCCTCTTATTGGATCACTCCCTCCACTCTCATAAATACCAAACAGTCCCTAAACCATTCCCTTTTAGGAGATGCTCAGAAATGGGGGTGAATCAGGGCATCTTGTTTCTACGACTGCTTAGAATAGAACTTCATATAGGTGTCATCTCCATAGCTGGTATATGTAATACACCACCACATGGCAGATCAAAGGTGAGAAGTCATCCTATATTGGTGCCCGATCTCTGACATTTAGGATGGATGAAATCTCAATTCATGAGGCCGTTGCTCACTCGTGGGAATACCCAAGGTCTGCTCCGGTTACCCGCAGAGTTGGACAAGATGGATTCCTTCACACTGAGGTTGTTCCGCCTCACTGGGACATACAGGACACCATTTGTTGTGTCTGCCCTAAGACAGGACAGGCAGGCCAAGTCTGAGGTAGTTCCTGAGAGAGAGAACCCAACCCCACGGTCTCCACCCCTGCCACGACCCACCGCTGCTCCTTAATGCCAACAGCCTACATCCCTGTCTGTCTGCAAGGGCACTGGGAGAGTGTCCTGCCAGGGGACTGGAATGCTGAAGTGTGAGCCAGTAGGGAGAGGGTGAGTTAATTGTGGAAAGAATCTCCCCAGTGATGTTCCCAACATGGCCAGCCACATGGTGGAGAGAGAGAATAGGAACGTGACAGGGAAGAAGAGAGGAAGAAGAATTGTAGACTGGAGTGAAGACAGCTTTGCTTCATGGTGCAAACGAAACCAACATCGGTTCTATGTCAGAAAGTCAAAGAGAAGTTGTTGTTATCCACATCATGTGTAGTTCAGTTTTTTGAGTACATGTTTGTGAAACTGATAAATAAAATGCAATATGATAATGCAAACTACTAGTGTAAAATATCACTATCACTGCAAGGTTGAAAATGTGGACTCTTTAAAATCCCTAGCAGTGGATCCTTTGTTTATGCTGGCAGGTAGTCACAGTGGTGTTTCCAGTGTAAACGGTGTCTGCAAGAGGGCTTTACTGGTAGACTAATGCTGCCCTGGTTGTGTAAGTCAACAGTTAAGCTCATTCACTGTTGAGTATTGCTGTTGACCTGGTAGCTCAATCAGATCATTTGATCAGATGTTTCCTCCCCAGGCTGTGTGTAACGCTCAGGTGTATAGTGCTTACTGAGCTCTGTTTGGCTACATTTGGTTTTTGAAATCTCCATAGACAAAGATTCATGTCAACTTTGATACAAATTGAACTGGATTTCTGCTTTGTGTTCAACCTGATTATCTGTGTCTGAAATAAAATCAAAGAAGCCAGAGGGAAATGTATGCTCGTACTACAACACCACAAGATTGACTGACAGAGATGACGAATAAACCCGAGGCCTGGCTATTTAGCTTGTGAGGGTAATACATTCACTGATAATTAGAGCAATCTGAAGTGGACTTCATGATTCACCCAGCCACAGTCTGCCCCATTCATCTCTACCCAGCCGCATCTTTGTAATTCAATCCTCCTCTATTGTGTTGATTTTGAAACAATGGCGAATATATTCTAGACCGTGGCTCGTATCACTGTCCAAAACATTATCCTCGATGGGCAGGATGGCAGATAGTAGTGTCTTTGTTTCTTGAGTCGTTTGTTGTCATGCCAGACAGTGTGGGTGTTGATGCAGTGCAGCAGTGGCCCAATGTGTGTCTGTGGTTTTGAGGAGTTCATCAAACATTAATGCTAATTAGGCCAGGCAGTCTCTAAAAAGAAGCCAGTCTCAGGGCGGTGGCAGCTTATTATTTTTAACAAAACATTTTTTCTTCGTTGGGTTATGTGTCGGAAAAAATGAGCGGCTCGCTTCACTCTGTCTGCACCGTTGTTTTCTCTCACCGCACAGTGTAGTCTGTTTGGATTGAGTGATGCTGTTTGCTGGCAGCCAGAGATTCATTTGTATCTGTGTTTGAACAGACGGGTACAGCCTTGATTGTCGAGGCAAACCTACCCAGAATTTATTAGTATTGTTATAAGCTGGGGGGGGGGGGTTCAACTGTTCAGTTGGAGGGGGTGGTCTGAACTTTGGAATTAAGACCAGCATCACAGTCCAGCATCAGTAGCAGATCTTTCTATAGGTGACACCGATGGCCACCCTCTAGGTGGCACAAAATTGCACCCAAAAAATAAATAAACAAGTAAATGATTTGGCAATTTAAAAAATGAACAAAAGCGGGAAAAACGATCCAAAGATCCAATGTTGACAGTTGATCTTCAGTACAACCCCTATTCCTGGCAATGCAGTTCATCCTAATCAACCTTTATGTGTTGATTAGAGAGTAATCATCACAGTCAGAACATGCTGCAGCATTGATGGGTATGATGGAGTGAAGATTATGTGGAGAGCATGAGAGAGAGTGAGAGAAAATGAAAAAGTAAAAGCCATCCGTGGTGCAGTACACAAATAGAAAAAAGAAGACGAAATCTGCAAAATTGCACATACTGTATCTTTTATTGTTTATTTGTTATCATTTGTTTGTTAGCTAAGTTGTTTATTTGTGTTGATTTCTCATTAGCCACTGTTTTTGTTTGTGATAAATACAATAAATCGATTAAATCGATAGAGCATAGTGCATCGCGATATTTTGTGTGCCAATATTGTATCAACATGGATGCCAAGTATCAATATTAATATTGCAAGTACAAATTTAAATTTTAGTGGCCTACCAGAATAAAAAAATCGATTGCTTTTTTCAGTTCATTAGATAGGCTACATTTTTTTTAAATAAAAATTATGAAGTCAGAAACTTTATCTTTAAAACTTTATCTTATTAGATAAAACAGCCGTTGACAAAGATTTCCTTTGGGGACATAAGTCACAGTTGAAAAAGGGTAAGAAATTGAAATTAGGGTTGCTATAGTATGAGATTTTCACAGTGCGATAACAATCTCAGAAAATATTGTGGTGTAACAGTATTACAAAATTATTATTACTGTCAGTTACAATGACCCTTAACGAAAGGGCTTTTTGTAGTTAAATATTTTTTACTGCAGTTGAAACTTGAAACCATTTTTTAATGGAAGTATGTGTAAAAGTCTCCCTTTTGGCAAATGCTCGTGAATGTTTTAGGCATGGTCTGCTTGAAATGCTTCACAGCCTGCTTATCTCCTGCCCATGATATATCCTATTCAGTGTCATCATGTTTTCACAGTTTGCTTTGTTCGTCCTGGAGCCTTCCCTTCAGTGTGACAAGGCTTTTAAGTGAACTGCCCCTGAATCTGGAAGCCCTTGCTAATAGAGGCTTTACCTAATCTGTTCTTAAGGCTCGTACCTCAGCTTACAGCTCTCTTCGCGGCCGTGCCTCGTAGGCCTGGGAGCACTTACTGTTTATTTATACCACACCGGTCAGCGCATGACAGCTTGTCCTCAGCACAGGCTAGCCAAGTTAAGATTGTGCTCTAGCTTCTTTATTGCAGACCAGGCTATAGTCTGTGGCCCCAGCTAACATCAATTAACAGCATCAGTCAAACCCCACTTGCAGTCCCACAATTAAAGCCTTTGCTTTGTCGAACCAGCAATAAATCTGACATTGTGTGTGTCAAATATTTATTTAAACAGCCATAAGAAACATCAACCTATAGCTTCTAAACTCTGATATGTTCAAGTCCAGACTGAGATGCAGTCCTGAGTGAGAAATACATTAGTTACCTCTGCACTAAAGCACTGCATCGCTGATTAGCAAATGCACCCACCACACTAAAAACTCATTAACGCTTTTTTTCATATTGCACTTTGATTTGCTCTGTGTGGGTGTGACAACATTCTCAGAATGCCTCCTTTTCTCCTCTTACTTGTTCATTGCCACTGGCACAGCTTATTGCACAAGGAGTGCTGATTTCCACAGGCTGATACAAGTATTTATGTCACAGTTGATGGCACAGGCTGTCCTGTGCACTGACCTGTGGATGGGTTTGATTATATCAGAAATCTGGGATGAAACTCTCAGTAAACGGGTGTACTGTGGCAAGGTGTGCAAAGGTTTTTATGCCAACTTAAATAGCTGTGCAGACAGTTGTTTATAACATAGTATTTTTGCACTTTTCTATGCAATGGCTCTGCATGTTATTCAGACAGTACTGAAAAATCAACTTACTGGCTTCACACCATTCTTAATTGGTGCTGTAATATATTTGCTGTGTGTCTGCCTGGCCTGGTATAAGGTATACCGGCTGTAATCCCTTTTTGCCTTGCAAGTCCTGGAAGTGAGAGGGCTTGGATCACACTCTACTATTGTTTTGAACATGTGCAGCTTAGTCAGTAACTATCTGCTCCTGCAATTTTATGAGCCGATAGAGCTGCTGCCAGTGTTACATTACCCATCTGCACTGTGGACAATTTGAATTTTACCCTATTTAGTAATGGTAGACATACAACTTTTCATACATAAATCCTCCATTTCTGAGAACTGGATTGCATTATGTTTACATATTACATGTAGGCTATTACAAATGAGTGAGTTTGTATAAAATATTTTTTCAGAGAAGAGCTGTCTGATGTCTTAACTTCACTACTATTCTACGGCTGGATCCCCCATTAGAGATTAATATATTTTGCAGCTTTAGATGTTGTGACTTGCCTATGGTTTGATCATGAAGCGCTCAGGTCTCAGCCTCAAAAGCACTGACCTTTAGTGATGATGGTAAAAGGATTGTGTAGGTGGTACGGAGCAGATTACTGAGAGAGGGTGGGTCAAGTGAGGTGCGGGGCTTCTTACTGCCTTTCTTATGCATCTCTTGCGTGGCATTATCATGTAGGTGTATGCGTTCCTCCTCTTGTGCCAATAACTTCATCTTGCCTCAGTCAATGCAAATGTCGCCTCTCTTGATTACGACTTAAGCAGATGCAGCGTGAGATGCAGAGCGTTTCTCCCTCTCCACATCTCTGTCTAGGCTCATGTCTTCTAGTAATGCCAAAACGATCTATCTTCCTCTACATATGGATTCTGAATATTTGATATGGTTTCAATGCTCATTTTTTGCAGTATCAATGGTATCAGCTGCACTTTCTCGCTCTCTCTTATTCTGCTGTTCTCTGCTACTGACCAGGAAAAGCAAAGTCATTGTTGTCGTGTTATAGTCTTGTTATATTTTTTAATTTATAAAAATGTAAAATTGTATGCCTTCATTGTCATTTTTTTCCCGATGGTATTGAAAATGGTATTGAATTTCTTGTTTCACTATCAGGATTTGATCCATTCAGTGCGATCACATTTGGAAAATCTGGAAGAGCTGCAAGATTAAATCTTTTTGTTACCTTTCAAGTTAGCAGAGCGCTAAACCGGAAGCTAGCTGTATGGCTGGCAGAAGTTAGCTGCTCTATTGCGCTCAGGGGAGCTCGGCCACCATAAATCTCTAGTGCCCTTGCTCTATGGGCTGCACAGTGGAGAAGTAGTGCCTATAATCCCCAGATCTTCAAGGTAATTTTATATGCGGCAGTTGAACCTTATGAGTAACTCTCATAGGAGTGAATAGGGCCCAACATTCAATGCTGCATCCAACACCTGTAAAAAGTTTTTTGGATGTGTGTGTGTGAAGCCCTCCCTTTTAACCACAATCACAGTGCCTTGTATGCATTTTCGGACTGCTGGCCCATACCATGGTCTTTGACACTGAGTAAGCAGGACAGTCATTGCTTGTTATTCTTATTAGAAATTCCAGTATTGCGACAACACTAAAATCTGCCATCTTTTCTTGCATCAACGCACTTCATCTAATTGTCTCATGAATACATTTTCAATTTGAATAAGTTGTTTTTTTTAACTAATTCAACCTCTCTTAATGCTGACAAAAAAAAACCAAAACAATTTATTGGCTCCGACCTATTTATCCTAACAGATGTTACATTTTTCCATTAACAGCTGTGCCATACCCTCCACAACATAAGCTAACTGTGAAGGAACTATTTGAAGATGGCAAGCCCAACGCTGAGCTGCTCCGCAACCACCTCGTCAAAGAGGGCAGGGTGGAAGAGGACGTTGCTCTAAGGATCATCAACGATGGGGCCAACATCCTCCGCCAAGAGAAGTGCATGCTGGAAGTGGAGGCACCCATAACAGGTAGGCTGGGGACCTTGTGATGGCCCCTCTGACCCCTGACCCCCTTGAAAAGACAAATGTCCTAAAAAATACAGTATATACACATACTGTTTAAAAATCTCCCGTGCAGGGCGATTCAGCAGAGATTCTTCCAGTGATGCCCTGTTAAGTAGTTTGAAAGAGTAACTATTGGATGCAGGCAACATTAGTAACTCCAAGACAGCATAGATTGTTTTGAATAAAAAGTAAACACAGCACCAAGCCAGGCATGATTCCATTGCTTCAGTGTTTTTCTATACTGGCAGCTGGTGTATACCCAGTCCTGTGCCAGATCGAAAGGCCTTTCAGGCACTCGGAGTCAACTCAGTCATCAGTCACTTCTCAAAAAATATCTGCTCCCTCTGAGCTGACCTCAGCATGGCCTCAGTCCAACACACTAAATTGAGCACCCTCAGATCCAACCAGCTCCCAACAAAATCTGATCTTTCTTTTCTGGGGTTTTCTCATGTATGACTTGCTACTTTCCAGTTTTGATACTATTCAGTTTCTATCAACTCATCAAAAGTTATTTAGCATAAAGTATGAAACTTATAACTTATTAAGCTATTATATTATTGTGGACATGTGAAAACTGAGAGAGCATGCCAGCATCATTTCTCTCTGTTGTTGTCATCTGGTGTTAAAGAGAGATAGCACCTGAAGTACAGCCTTTGTCTTTACATATTACATACTGTATATGATGGATTACAGCAGCTGGTTAATATTTGCTAGTTAGCAGAGACAATATGAGGATGCTAATTGTTTTGAATGAGCTTTCCCAAGAGTGAGAAGTATTAATAGTTCAGTTGTTGTTATATATTAGACACAATATAGAGTGGTGCAGAAATGAGTCCTAAACCACAGAAATGAGTTAGCATGTTAGCACACCTGGTTCCCTTTACTGAAAGTCAGTGGGTTTTTTGAATGGGGTTTTGGTTAGATGCCTGAAATAAGGTCTGTGGTTAACACACACTTTAGAGACTAAACATGCCACTAAATACACCACTGTCAATTTTGAAGCCTTCACGTGTCTTTAAAAAAGGTGCTTGCTATCACATGGCTAAATGAGACTACAGAGCATGATCATACTGAAGGCAGCTTTAGAGCCTCATTGTGGTGACGATGTTGAAGTCTTGCAACTGCAGTGAAGGTCATTTATAGCCAAATGTTAGCTTTTTACTTCTGGCGATTGCATTTACACTCCAATAAACATAAAAGTAATGTTTATTTGTGAAAATTATTTTGCTGAGCAAAACGTGTAAGTATCATAAACTGCTGTTTTCCCCAGAGCTTATTTTCTGCAATAATCCAATATCCAATGGATAAATTCTGACTTTTTGTTGCTAAATGCCGTGTTGGCCCAAAAAAATGTCGACCCAACAGTACTCTGTTGTTTGCACATTTCACACAATCTTAAATCCTTTTGTTAAAGGTTTTAATCTGCACATATCTGACACCAGTGTTGTCATTCTAAAGCAGTGGTTCCCAACAGGTCCAGCCACGAGGTCTAGATTTCTCACGTCATTAGTTCAAGGTCCACACAGTTTAATATATTCAATGTCATACTTACATTTGGCCACATCAAGCTAGTTTGCTGTCTCTGTGAAGTAGCTGTCTGTCAGTCACTCACTACAGCAGGAAATGGCGCTTTTGAAATAAAAGCTATGTGCCATAAATTTACTGTACTTCAAAATAAAGTCTACAAACTTAACACGTTCTCTTGGGGTCCATTCAGAATGGACCCGTGACCCACTTTTGGATCGCAACCCACCATTTGGGAACCACTGTACAAAAGTATTTGCCATGCTCCCATTGTTCCGTACTGTCATTGCAAAGAGGGGTCAGATCTCAGAACTTAGCACATCTCAGTGAGTACGTGACTGTAACAATGTTAAGTCAGTGCATCAAAGCTGATTATCAACGCATTGAATCAGTTTGAAAAAGTTAAGTGGCTTCAGCAATTATCAACATCAAACACTTTAGGCACATCATTTGAATGGAATCAAAACCCGTCCCTCTTCTGCCATGATTAAATGAGTAAAAACTGGTACTGTCACAGCATCACTGTTATTCCTGCTCCAGCAGCATCAACATCAGTAAACACACTTTGAAAATTGAGAAGAAAATAATAATTTGCCTAGAATAGAATGGAAAACCTGTTGATGTACAGAACACTTTAAATCTGCATGTAATTCAAGAGGCTTCTATTGTTATTTTAGAATTAAGAAAGAGCAGCACATGCCAACATACATCTAGACAAAAACTTTTTAAAATATCCCTACTAGCTGTTGTTTCATGAGCAATTAACAGCACTGTGTTTTGTCTTTTGGCAGTATGTGGTGATGTCCATGGACAATTCTTTGACCTTATGAAGTTGTTTGAAGTGGGGGGATCACCCAGTAACACACGCTATCTCTTCCTCGGTGACTATGTAGATCGAGGATACTTCAGTATTGAGGTAAGTTGTTGTATCTTCCAGTATATTCATTTGTAAGACTTTTACAGTTAAATAAAAACCATTTGTTGTATTGTGAAGATAGCAGTTAACATCTTTCAATCTGTCAGTGAGGAACCTTAAATGCATTACACAATAACAAAAATACAAACTGGGAGTTTGGGTTTGGTTCACAGATGATTTGATATACGTTGGGTTGAATGGGCATCCATTAGTTATCTGTAAATGTCACACTTAAGATGTGATTCTCCCTTTTAGCCTCTCCTTTACAAGTTGCGGCTAAGCTTTTTTTAAATAGTGGAATTCTCATTTTTATTTTCAGAAAATAGAAAAACACATTCACACTGTTTGCTGAACAAGCTATATTCTGAGGGTGTAACAACGAACAGTATTCACAGTTTCATTTAATTTAAACAGCGTTGTCTCACGATTTCAATACATTGTCAGTGGAGTACAAATGGGTTCTGCAGATTTTTCCATGCATGTAAAAAAAATTTGTGTAGGTGTATATGTATATTTTAGGGCTGCCCCTTGAAAGTGGGAGATTTGAATTCTCAGTCGGAGACCCCTGACTTGACTGAGATTACTTAAAGTCATGCAGTTTTGGGTTTTTTTGTTTTGTTTTGGGGTTTTTTTTTTGCTAGTCAATGTTCTGTGCAATGTACTTCTAGGGATGCTTTGGTCCCCAGATTTTGCTTTGGAGTGCGCGCTCTTGACTTTCATGCTGCTCTTTGGTACCAACAGCTGCGGACGTGATAAGTAAAGGACGTAAAGATATAGCTGAGTAATGGAACCCAGAGCAAGGAGTGTAGTCACACTGTGTTTGTTGGTATCCAAGCCTCTCTGTTGTGGTAGATGGTGTCCGAGTGCATGTGTGTTCCTGTGTGTGTATCCCACTGGCTAGTCAATGGCCGCTGCTCTACACTGTCCTTATACAGTCGTTACTCTTGACAATTTCGCAGAAGCAAAATGCCCACCGTACACCCCTCCCATGTCCGTAAGCTCTGTCAGCACTGTTGCTGTTTTTTAGCACTGTTGCACTGTTAGCACCATTGGCTGTCATATATATCAATGTCATATAGCGCTCCTTAAACTGTACTTCTGTCAAAAAGTGGAATCATAATGTAATATGACTTAATGGTGTGTTGTTGGTTCCTGTCACTCTGCTGCATGTATCCTAGTTTAGTGAAACTGAACTAGGGCCAGTGCTTGCAATTTGTATCAAAAGAGTTGATGTAATAAGATAAGGGTAAACCAAACTGGATGGTGCTATGCCCCATTCTGATTCTCAGGATGGTTAAGATGGTGGGTCAGAATAGCTACAAAAATTTAAGGCTTACTGCAGCGCTGCTTTGAAGATCTTACTTTGGTGCCAAATGACCAAATGGGTTTTGCTGTCTGAAATTCTATTTCAATGACAACTTCAAAGGGCACAGTTCATACATGCTTATTAGATGGTTAAAAATAAGACGGAGGATTGGAACAGAGCTGCAGTCTGGCTGCAGGACCCTTATTGAGACCCCTGGTCGGAGGGTGGCGGCTGTAGTAAGCTTGGATTCATGGCGCTAACAATGGTGACCCAGTTTCCTGGGTAAAAAAAGGTACCAAAATATCAATAGAAAACACTATTATAGTATATCCTTCTCCTCTGCTGTTCACCTGTATTGATATATTCCTAAAAATCATACTTTTGCAATGGTTTATGTATGTTAGTTAAAACTTGCTGCCAAAATGTACAGCTTTAAGCATCAAACATAAGCTGTAATTAGCTGAAACAATAGACTGATCATAATATCAGCTAGTCCAAATTAAAAATATAGTTATAAAAATGATCTGTAAGTTGTTGTATTTAGGTAACTATGTCTGCATTATTGCTGACTCAACGCCAGTATTTTTGTTTGTGTGAAAACTTCTACGGACTCGATTTGATTTTAGCACTAATAGTGGAGCATGAGGCCTTGTAGTTTGCGCTACAGTGCGGTACAGAGTTGATTTTACACATCAAAGTCTGTTTACAGATCTTGGGGCATACTACTAAATACCACTGCATTAATAAAGCCTTTTCTGACTCTGAAAGGAGCTCTGTGAAGTCTGAACTATTGCCCTAAATGATGTCACCGAAGTCAGTGTTGGTTGGAGCTGAAGACTACAAGTTGGAGAGTGAAAAAAATTCACAATGTGTGAGTTAGAAAGACGTGAACTCTGACCTCTGTAGCCCGCTCCTCATCTCTGCTTTATGATAGTGGCTTCAGGCTACATTAGCCATAACACACATAAATCTCTGACCAAACTGTTGGTGGTCAGGTTGCATTGTGGGTAGGGATGTCAGTTTCAGTTCGTTTTACTTTTGAAAGCTCAACACCCATTAACCTGTAACCAATCCGTTAATTTTTAAGAAAAACAAAAGACATGAAATACAAGAGGCCTTTCCTTTTGGTCCAGCACTCCTTTGACTCAGTGAGCTTTGTGGCTGCATTTCAGAGCACTGTCTAGTTAGAGGTGATAAAATTGTAATGTTTTGTGATATAAACGTCTTGCCTTTTGTTTAGCTTATGTTAGCTTTGCTGACGGACAAGCAGCCAGCCAGGTTAACATGTGACAACATGTCCACTGCCCAAACTCTCTCCCCATTGGTGTCTTGGCCACTTTGCAGTGTGCACCACCGTAGACTGGGAGGAAACTAACGTTAGCTAGCTAGCTTTGCTGCTTATTCAGGGATTACAATTGGTAATGCCGTTATAGTAGTGGAGTGTATTCCTGCTAAAACATTGTGCCTACCCTCTGGTGCCCCCCAGGTTGAGTAAGTGTTTTGAACCGCAAAACCCTTTTAGCATTGTCTACTATGTTGGCACCACTGGCCATGCTGACACTGCTAACAGTGGTAACATAGCTAGCAGTGATGACAGTCAACAATGCTAAAGGGGTTTTACTGCTCAAAATTGAGCCACTAGCTCACCGGGGCATGCTTGGAATAAAAACAGACAAAATGTTGGTTCTGCTGTATTGATTTTGAGCCATTATGTGTTTAAAGTTACAGTTGGTAACTTATAAAAATACATTTTTGTCATTTTTGCAGAAACTGTTACTATAGCCACACAGTAGTACATGAGACAGACAGTCTGTGGAAAAAAATCATATTCTTCCTCCTCGTAGTGCTTTTCATGGCATTTGCAAGAATCCACCTCGCCTGTGTGAAAAAAGCAAGTGATGAGCAAACGTTCTCATTTTACAGCAAATAGTACGCTGGACAGTAAGGCCGTGATTGGTCGTTTTTGTTCAGGCCCAGTCAATACTTCCAAATTGCCATTAGGAGCACTGAAAGGAGGCAGACAAACGTGTTGTTGTTTTTTGTCATGTACTACTGTCACGATATAGTGACAGCATCAGCAGAAATGACAAAGAGATATTTTCATGTAAGTTACCAACCACAGCTTTGAACTGACCGTGTTTAAACACTGCAATGCCAAATGTGGAGTATTCTCATAAGTGATGTGGGAAAGGCAAATATATTCTTTGTTTTGGTCTGCCTGGTGCTGAAGGTAGTTATTTACTGCTTGTCAAGTTTTCTTTGCCTTGTCAGGCAGTCCTGATCCATTTGTTGTTGTTTAATTAATAATTTGTTTGTACCATCCTGAGGACATATTCTAGATTGTAGCAATACCTATAGGAATATTTGTAAAGGACAAGGGTGGATGGTGTGTGGAGTGGGCTGTATTTAAAAGCCAGCAAAGCACTATGCTAACATTTTGACCACTCTGTGGGGGCTTTTGATGTGCACTGGGTCGTACAGAGGTGGGTGAAATGTCACAGATGAAAGAAGTGGACTGAAACAGCATAGGGAATGATGGGCTGATGTCAATTTAGGGTGTGTGCCCATTGAGGGACGTCATAAATTGGCACTGGGATTATTTCCCTGTGTATTGCTATAGAGAAGTGACACTGTAAACATTGTCAACCCAGAAGAGGGGAATGACCTCTTCTCCAGTGGAAGAACAGTTCAGCAGTCAGAACCACAGTGCTTATCAGTGTCCTCCACCCGCTCCGGTTGAAGCATGGGTGTGATCAGAGTGCCTAGTGTGTACATCCTGCTGTCAACACTGCGTCAGAACTAGCATGGAGCAACTAATGGAACATACTGTATTATGCTTACATGATATGCAGTCAAGTAATTATTCTAATATAATTAAAAACAAGATAGCCTGGAGGGCTGTGTCATTTAGCCTGTAAAGAGGTTTTCAGATTTTTTTTTTTTTTAAGAGTACCTGGCATTGAATGAGCTTTTGCCCCTTACCTACACACAAGCAGTGTTGAATTGTTGAATTGCCACATTGATTGGCAACTATTTGATACTCCGTTGATTTTTTGTAAGTGTTTTTTTTTTTTTTTTTTCCAAAATGACAAACATGGTCTAGTTCCAGTTTGGGCAGATATATGATAGTAAGGTGGATTTCATGGGTTTTGGACTGATGGTAAGGTAAAATAAGGACTCTGAGTATGCCGCCTTAAGCGGAGGTGAACTAAACTGCAAAATTTATTATTTTCTGACATTTTTAGACTAAATATTTTAGTGACTGGAGGTATACCATTTAGGAATTGTTGGTTACTTTTGTAAACACACACCAGTAAAAGTGAAAGTGAAAGCCATCCCCAGATTGATGTTTCGCCTCGCTGTATTAGTGTTTTTTCGCACTGAGCCCACAATTTTCTTTTGGATGCTTGCTGTTAATGATCTGGCCCCTGGTGGCTACTTTTTAAAAAAAAAAAAAAAAAAAAGTCCTGACCTCAGTAATGTCCCAAACACAACAAAATAAGAAGAAAATATTGAAATTCAGGCAGATATCTGCAGATAGATACACCGCCACACACTTGTAGTAGGTCATAAGTAGGGCTGGGTATCCTTTAAAAATCAAAGTACCAGTACCAAATACCAGAACCTTAAACTGATACTGATGGGCACTGCAGTACTTCCTTTGATACCTTGGTTTTTTTGTATTTCGTTCAATACCCATAATGTCAGTGAAGCTTCTCAGTCATCCAGGCCATGGTATTCATAAGTGCTATATTGTAGGCAACTGGACTTGCTTGCCTGAATATTTCCAATCACATTATGGTTATTTATAAGTGCTATATCGTAGGCAACTGGACTTGCTTGCCTTAATATTTCCAATCACATTATGGTTATTTATAAGTGCTATATCGTAGGCAACTGGACTTGCTTGCCTTAATATTTCCAATCACATTATGGTTATTTATAAGTGCTATATCGTAGGCAACTGGACTTGCTTGCCTGAATATTTCAAATCACATTATGGGTATTCATAAGTGTTATATCGTAGGCAACTGGACTTGCTTAAGTCTTCAAAATATAAGACGAGAGGCGAAACGTCTTCAAAATACGCAAGCAAGTCCACTTGCCTACGATATAGCACTTATGAATACCCATAATGTGATTGGAAATATTTAGGTGAGTAGCATAGCCATACATCGAACATTTTAGTGGCATCTTGGCATGCTGTACTGCCTACTCTTTCAAATACAGCATGCTCAACTTCACCACACCAGACTGTATGGGTTGTACTAGTAGTTGGTACCAGGTTATTTCAGTCAAATACCATAAAGGTATCAAGTACCAATACCCAGCCTTAGTCATAAGTGATGTTTAAGAAGGATTTTTTGTTTTTAATGAGTCCATGCATTATTTTCTAGGCAAATCCTGCATAGATATTTGATGGAAAAAATTAGCATGTTAATCAGTAATCAAAATGATCATCAGCTACAGCCCTTTATTGGTCAAATCAGTGCTCAGGCTCAGGCAGAAGTATGATTACAGTCAAATAAGTACACTATGGAATAGACTGTATGAACTGTATGGCTAATTCTTTCTACATATCAGAGGAAGCAGCTTCGCCTTATTTGCTGATGTAAAGTCACCACAAAACAGAAGAGCCTAAAAGCGCCAAATTCTTGCTATTTTCTGTCGCTAACAGGGCTGAAAATTTTCTGCATTTCAAAGGAAGGCCACTGAGCTCACTTCAGTAACACATAAGACAGATATAGGAAAAGGGACATCAGGATGTGGTTACCTTAGTAACATAGAGAGTCAGTGTAGCCCCTTGAAGTAGCGTATTACCTTTGCAGGCCAGCAGTTTGCCAAAGTCTAAATTCAGTGCATGTGAGCAATCCATTTCTTTCTCTAAGCCCCTCTGTATCTACTTAGTCCATAGACACACTCTGTTGGATCAAAGAGAATTTACCAACACTCCCAGCCCCAGCCCAGACCCTTTACACACCAGGCTGAAGTGTGTGTGCATGGTTTTACATACAGCATGTGTGTCTGGGTTTGAGATGAAGGTAGCCAGAGTTCATGTCTGCCACACAAAAGCTTGGTGCCATTTCCTTTGTCTGCCACCCCCAGTCCAGGCTCGAACACACAGTGACTGGCTAAAAGAGAGCAGAGGGCTCTCATTAAAACCCATGTCAGCTTTTAGCCACTCTAAGCCATGTCCCTGTGTCTGCCTCCGCACACCAGAGATCAAGTCACACAGACAGCCCTCACTACACATTTACTTGCACTGCACAGTTCACTATTCCTCCCAGCAATGGAAGAGAATAAAACAAGGTAGTCTAGGCTCCACCATCCTTTTTTGTCACTTCTGTGAATACACACCTGCTGATTCTGGTTACCTTGGCATCTTGTTCCAGCGACTTAATAGCAGGCCATGGTTGGTGCATGTTAGAGGAGTGGGCTAAGAGTGGCAAGTGGCAGCTATTTAGCAATGCCTTGTGTAAATACAGGAGAGGAAGAAGGTTCATTTGGATTGTAAATTTTGGTCTGCTTCTTACACATACATATGTTTTTATGCTTCTGTGCCAGCGATATCCTCGGATAGGGACATTATATTTTCCGTCTGTCCATCCCATTCTCGTGAACGCGATATCTCAAGAACGCCTTGCAGGAATTTTTTTAATATTTGGCACAAATGTCCACTTGGACTTAATGATGAGCTGATTAGATTTTGGTAGTCATAGCTCAGACGTCAAGGTCACTGTGACCTCGTCTCTGATTCTTGTGAATGCAGTTTCTTAAGAACAGCTTGAGTTTCTTCAGATTTGGCACAAACATCCCCTTTGAGCCAAGGATACACTGATTAGAATTTGGTGGTTAATAGACCTTGTGTCCATCTCGTTCTCATGAAAGCAATATCTCAAGAAGTCCTAGGGGGAATTTGCCATTTTTTGGCACGAATGTCCACTTGGACTCAAGCATAAACTGATTAGAATTTGGGGGTCGATGTTCAAAAGTTAAGGTCACTGTGACCTCACAAACCATGTTTTTGGCCATAACTTAAGAATTCATCCACATTTTATGACAAAATTTTACACAAAAGTGATGACATTTTATATCCAAAAGTTCAAAGGTCACCCTCACTGTGACATCATCATGTTCTGCAAAAACACTGACCATAACCTGATGTCATATCTCAGGAACAGAAGGGGAGATGTTTGGTCGGATGCTGAATTGTGTGTCCACCTTAAAACAGTGCTGATTGTTTGGATCTTCTGTGCTGCCGGGGGGAAGATGTTTGTGAAGTATCCATGTTTTCACAAACATGGATGTAAACGGTAAATGCAACTTGACTGGTTTGCAGAAGCATACAAACACAAGGCGATAGTTCTGGTTTAATAAGAGCCTTAAATCAGGCCAGAGAAATATATATTCTGTTTGCTTCTAAGATGAAAATGTGAAGGAAAAGCAAATTTTTCTGTAGCACGCCGTAGTTAATCAAATCTGTGTTTAGAGCCCCTGATGGCACAGTGTGAATGGATTTCCATATGACAGGAATTAATTTGGTTTCATTTTAAAAAAAATCTCTTGTAGACTGTCAGTGCAATACAAAGCATAACTGGCACTTAAGCTAGCTTACCTTGAGCAAGGTCACCGTCGGACTGAAACACAGACAAATGAAGCAGAGTAAAGTGTGTGGGAGTATGCAATTTCTTTTATTTGAAAAAGCTCATATTACTGCAGTCCTCTGCAATAATGTGAACAGCACAGCCCTGAAACAACTTGCATGGGTAGCAAAAGAGAGCACTGGAAACTTGTCAGCATCTCCTTAAATGCTGAGAAAAAATTATACAAGCACTTTCACAGCTTCCACTTTCAAGGTCTGTGCATAATCATTGGTACACATCTTTGACTGTTCCTTCTCCCCTCTTTCCACATTTTTTTCTCTTGCTGTCCATCCTCACAGTGTGTTCTCTACCTCTGGTCGCTCAAGATCAACCACCCCACCACACTCTTCCTCCTGCGTGGGAACCACGAGTGCCGACACCTCACAGAGTACTTCACCTTCAAACAGGAATGTAAGTGCAGTGCTTCTCTCAGCCATGTGAAGGCCAGTCTTACGTGCACCTAGGCTTTCTGTACTACTTCAGAGTGGTCTGTATCAATCAGGTTTCAGACTTCACACAATGCTTGGGTATGAGGGTATGGCACTGTACTTCCAGTGTAAGTACAGGATTGCTTTTGCAGTCACTATTGCAGGTTAATTGATCATCCTGGCCGCATACAACCAAATGGGGAATAAAGAAACTGTAACTGTGAGTCCCCTTATAAAATGACTAGCTTCTCACAAGTAGGACATGTTTGTCAAAAAGTATCTGTGGGATCAGGAAGTCCCATCACATGATGTGGCACTTCATCAGTGTTACAGACTCTGCAGAGAAGATGAAGCCTTTTCCTTTTCATGTTACAGATGATAAACTGCTGAAGCATGGAGAGCAGCCAGGCATGCTGTTGATGCTTTTCAGACAGTTGCACATACTCACTGGTTTCAATCTGTGACAGTTGAGTGTGTGAATCTGTGTGTGTGCGTGTATGAAGCAGGTGTGGAGACATTAGTATGCAAAGTCAAAAACAAAGACACTTTGGCAGACGGCAAAGACAACCTTGCCAGCTGCTAATAGATTTCGCTTACTACATCTCCCCCCACCTACATACCACCTCATCTGTGCACACACGCAGACTGTATCGTTACACATTATAACACCTTTCAGTGGTTTAGGTTGTGGTCATTTTTGGCAGGTGTAATACTTAACAAAATTAAACCTTTTTTTCCATAGCCATAGCAGTCAAGAGTAAAAGTGTGAACTAAATGAGCAGATAAAGCAGTAGGGGTAGAAAAAATAATTGATTCTTACATGTTTTGTGATTTTCTCTTGGAAGACTGCATGAATACACAGAACTCATTATTTTGAGTTTATAGGGCTTCCTCATCAGTGACTGTTGGTTAAATTGCATCAGTGTGGTGCCTATTTTTTGGTAGGAGTCTAATGTGCTTATTAACTGGATGTGATGAACCTTAATTTCTATTAGCAATTCTGTTTCTTGATATTATTTAGTTTAAACATTGCTAAAATGACTAATCATTTAAGCACTGTGGTATCACACTGGGTAATATCATAGATTTGTCTGAGAGATTAGCTACTGTAGTTGAAGATGATTACAAGTGTGACCACAACAGAGAAATTTAATAACTTGTCAGGAAACTTGTCAGTAAATTACCACCCACCACCCCCAGGAATTTGAAGCCTTTACATGTCTTACAAATGATAGTAGCTAACTTGTGACGGCGACGTTGAAAGCCTAATGTAAGGTTTTTACTACTGGCAATTGCATTTATGCTTCAAAAATGTGTACATTTGTAAAGATTGTCTTGCCAAAGAAAATGTGAGTATCATAAACTTAAGTAATTTTCTGCAAGAATCCAAAATCCAGTGGAAAAATCCCATTGGTTTTTTGACGAGGGAACCAGGGCAGCACTAACTTTTGCGTCTGCCTATTAAAAAAAACATCCCCGGATGAGACTCTGACCTGTTGATAATTCCTGAAATGCAGCTTGCGCTCGTTTTTACAGAGCAGGCCCAACAGACTGATTAATGCACACATAAAGGCATATTGTAGCAAACCATATGCTTCCATACTGTATTGTCTACAATGTACAGTATATGCGAGTGTGGTTGAATATTTGCAGCAATAAACATTCTGTATCGGTCTTACTTTGGCATGGTCCAAACCTGCAGTGGGAGGCTGTCAGAACGCTGTTGGGAGAAGGACTCTCCTTCCAGTCTGTTTTTTTCCTGTTCTACTAATTTACAAGTGATGCCATCATAAATAGAATGTTAGCAGCCATCCTCAGAGCTCCGCCTTGCAAAGTAACGAGTGCTCAATAAGCTGCACCTGCAGCAGTTGCAGTGGCAACGGCTTATTTTGAGAAATGAAGTCACCAGGCAGTCAGAAAAGTCGTTAAATCTAGCGAGAAAGTGGCCAAGTTAGCAACACTGAGCGCATCACTGCAAAGGAAAGAGGTGCGCTGGATTTTAATCACAAGACAAAAAGGTAGCAGCATAGCAGAACAGAATGCAGTACAGTTATCGTTTTATCTAGATTATCTTGTTTTTATCATCATCTGAACTTGTTGGAAGCCAGTGTTGTATAAAATATATTACAGTTAGAAGCTACAGTAGGTCTTCATTCAACAAAAAAAAATTGTTAGGAAAAAAATTAAGAAAGATTAAATAAAGAATCAAATAAATACACCATAGCAGTCTAAGAGAAAAGTCCAAGAAAGAATTAATTGTAACTGAAAATTGAATTGAAACAGTGGTAATGTGTAGTCACAAAAACCTATACAAATGTATTATGCCTCAACCATGAATGACTGCTTTCAACAGATATATTTTAGTCAGCTTTGCTGCACATTTCAGCAACATTGACATTCAGACAGTTTCACACTATCTAACTTGCAGTTCTCAACATGGGTGATGAATGGCCGCCAGCCCTGATAAAACAGTAGATCGCCTAAGAGTGAATCTTAACTTTCTCTAACTGATTTCTTATCCAAACAAGTGTAGGTGGGTGGCATTTTGTCTTCACACCTAAGAAGGATTAGGCAGAATTAATTTTAAGATGAATTGTTTGATGCATGATGATGTTGTTTTATTTAAACACATCATTTGTTATTTAAAAATGTCTACATTATTGTGTACACATATGCAACTACAGACCACAGAAAGCTGTCAGTCACTAAACTCAAAGTATCCGCAGGCTAAATGATAAAAGCGCGCTCATTTCAAGTGCAAAGCTTTAATCGACAGATTTTTCTCTGTAACATGAATGCAGCACTCACTTGGTACTCAGGTCTTAAGTTCAGTCTTTACCACCCACATTGTACTGTCCTGGCTGTGTTCTGGCTGCTCCTGCCCTATAAGGAGCGGACTTCCTCCTGCCCTGATCTGACCTGCAGTGTTGTGCAAGTGACACTGCAGACGCTGCCTGGAAACAATCATCTGTCCTGCTACTCCTCTGCTGGCCTACTGGCAGAGGAGCTGCGTTTCTTCTTTACTACACATCTGACAAATCTTGATATCTGCTGAAGAAGCAGATGCAACAAAAGTTTTGCCATTTGTGGCTATGTTTTTGATAAAGAATTACTTTATTACTGATTATTCGTATATGGGAAGAGCTACAAAAATGAACCATATTTTGTGCTGTCGCCATGTGTTTGCTGCAGGTAAAATTAAATACTCTGAACGGGTGTATGACGCCTGTATGGAGGCCTTTGACTGCCTGCCCCTTGCTGCCCTGCTCAACCAACAGTTCCTATGTGTACACGGCGGTCTTTCACCAGAAATCAACTGCCTAGACGACATAAGGAAAGTAAGTGATTGTTTGCTCCTTGTTAAATGCTTCTTTGTACTGAAATGACCTAAACCTCACAGTATCTCTGCTGAGCGTGTGTCTGTGTTTTGTCCTCAACAGTTAGACAGGTTTAAAGAGCCTCCAGCATTCGGGCCAATGTGTGACCTGATTTGGGCTGACCCTGGTGAGGACTATGGCAGTGAAAAGACAACAGAACACTTCAACCATAACTCCGTCAGAGGCTGTTCTTACTTTTTCAGGTATTAGAACACATTGCTGCCTTCATCACTCCTGCAGCGTCACTTAACTGTACAGGCACATCATTACCAAACTCTCACAACTGACACAACTGTATTATAATATAAACAAGTGATTTTATCAAATAGTGGACTGCTAGTGGACCAATCTCAAACAACTACAAAATGATGATAAATGATGATAAAATAGAAAATAGGCTTCATCACACAGGTTAGAGGATGTAGCTTTTCTTATTTTGTAGGTCAAACAGCTGATTGAGGCACTTTCAAAAATGGCCCTCTCAAAACAGGTTGGCACAGCTTGTTTAAAATAGGTTACCACATTAAATATGACTTTTATTAAATAGGTTAACAGATTCAAACTGCTTGATCAGAATGGGAAAGACCAGTTTGGTAGTTATGTGCTAAAGAGAATAGCACCTTCTCAGTCCAGTGTTTTGGTCTTCAGATTGGTTTTGGTCTTGAGACTGGTCACAAGACCACTTTTTGAAGGTCTCTAAGCACATACACCACAATAAAAGAGGTGAATGACAAGGATTTTTAATTTGTTTTCTGTGGGTGTTTTTATTAGAATGTGGGTCTTTCTGATTTGAAGGATCCTATGGTCATAAATGTGTCCTGCAGTGGTCTGGTCTTAGTCATGACTCAGTCTCAACCCCTCAATGTCTTCGTCTTATATCTGTCTCACTACACTATTGTCTTGGTCATGATTTCCCAGTCCCAGTTTACATAGTCACCACATAGCCAAGCATGTCAACATCTTTAATACAGGAGGTATTTTTTACTCCTTCCTTTAGAAAAGTTAAAGAGCATTGGTGCCAAACTTTCTGGGATTCAGCTATTGGTGTGAGAACAGCTTCATTTGCTGATCTGAGTACAATCACTTACTGTAGGAGTTGGGCTTAGTGCCAATCCTGATGCTACAAGATGTTTTGAGAAAATATTTAGACACGTTAGCAGGACATCTCATGGGATGTTTATATCTGTCGGTCATATTCCATCCATTTGTAGGAGTAGGTGCTGCAGCAGTACTGCACCCAGTACTGAAAGGGGGCAGAGAACATTGATAGAGAGGCAAGACAAAAAACTTCACTTAGTTTGGTTCCTGCTTTCCATGGTTGTAAACGGAACTTTTGACTTTTTTGAGAAAGTGAGATGCAAGTCACAAACATCTGTTGTACACACCTTCCCTCACTGATTTTAGCATAGAATCGTTCACAAGTTCAAAAAATAAGTAGTACTTGGCTAAGTTCTTATGGGAGTGCTCTGATAAATGAATTTATACCAAAATGGGCTGTCCATCTTGAGTTATTGGGAGAAGCTAAACAATTCTATACAAAATTAGACATTCAGCACCCCTATATATCCCAAATGGAATGATCCTTTGTTTCATAACCACATTTTCCTGCACCTGTGACATGCCATGCCACGCATGCCTTGCAACCATCTGACTGGCAGTCAAATCAGGCTTCTTAGATCAAATTGTCAAATGGTCAACTATTTGGGGTCACCCCTAGAGAACAGTGAATGTCATACCTACTGAACATCAGCATGTTAGCATTGTCCCTCTAAGTAAGAGGAGAGTAAAACAGGTAATAGATCCTGACAGATAGTCTGTTAAAATGCTGTTGTGTACACAATGTAAATGTGTATATGTTTACATTGTAATGCAATATAAAGTTTTTAATTTATGTGTCACAAAATGTCCCATTATGTACGACCAAATGACCCTCTAATGTCAGTTAACCTGGCATAATTAGATATTTCCTTTCTAAAAAAGAATTGGCAGTGTAGTTTGATACCATATGATCTCCTGTAAGATGTGTTTCAGCTCGCTACAGTGATTTGCTGTTAATGGGTCATTATGTTTGATTAGACAGTGTTACAAATGTTTCTTCATAACTGATTATCACACCAAGACATCCCTTGAATTTTAATTATGCCAACCATTTAGTAGATCACTAGTTTAAACCAGCTATTAAACAGACTTAGTCATGTATTTACACATATCCAGTTCAATCAAATCATGTCTTGGTCTAAAATCTACTGAAGCAGTTAATGTCAGAAACCATTCATCTTAGCCTGATGTCTGTCTCTGCCATGTTGTTGCCTACACATTTTTCTTGTTCTTCCTGATGGATTAGTAGAGTGGAGGAGGAAGGGAAGTCAATGAAAACCCTTAAGTACCCTCATCCAGCTGAGCTCATCTGCTCTGGGGCGACGTTCCCCAGCTTCTGTACAGGCCAGCAAAGCCCATAAATACCAGGGTCTGGATGCTTAGCATCTTTAAACCCCTAGCTCAGCAGGCCAGAGGGCACGGCATGCTGAGAATAAATATGAATGTATTTCTATAAGCAAATGACAGTCAGTGAAGTCATAAGTGGTCTCATGCTGCTCCTTTAATGGTTTAAGTCTGTAATAAGCTTTGACCTCAACTCAGTGTTTTAATAGGTCTGTCTCTCTCTCTGGTTTTCTTTCTCTCTGCAGTTACTCAGCAGTCTGTGACTTTTTGGTAAACAATAATCTGCTGTCAGTAATAAGAGCTCATGAAGCACAGGATGCCGGGTAAGTAGCATTACTGCTTTTTGATTCATTCAGCATATTATAATATAGAATATGTTGAAAAGTCTTATTTTTTGCGGCCTAACAGGTATCGGATGTACCGAAAAAGCCAGACCACAGGCTTCCCTTCATTAATCACAATCTTTTCAGCTCCAAATTACCTAGACGTCTACAACAACAAAGGTTTCTGCCTTTTTTTCTCACTCTCATTGTCATTGTTTCTTTCTTGTATTTACCAGGCTTCAGTCCTTGAATCTCTCCTCCCATCTCTTTCCCTCTGTCAATCCTAGCTGCTGTATTAAAATATGAGAACAACGTGATGAATATCCGACAGTTCAACTGCTCCCCCCACCCTTACTGGTTGCCCAACTTTATGGATGTCTTCACGTGGTCTTTGCCTTTTGTTGGAGAGAAAGGTACGTTTGTTGTTTAAGTGTGGATGGAAGCCAGAAATGAAGCCTGTCTTGAGTTACCTATGGTTCTCGATTTGTGGAACATACAGACCCAGACTCACTCAGGAACTCTGATTTTTTTCTCTATGAAATTGGTGTTCTTGCATGTGTTAGCCCATTTACTAAATATGAAGTGTGCCAGTGTGTTTTCCAGAAACATCCACATCTGACACTGAAAATGTGTCTTCCAAAAGGAAACCCATGTAAACTAACAAGACTAGGCTGAACCATGTATGAAATGCTGGATGGCTTTAATTTGAAACAGAAGTATTCACGTAATCACTGACTTTTCCCCACTGATATGGAACAGCCCAAAACATGATGTAAATACATCATAAAATGAAGAACAATACACTCAGAGATGTTCATACAGCACAAGGGACCTGCTTTACCTGGAGCTGTACCCACTGATCATTTAACACAACCCTACCCTCTTCAGCCTGGTCGGTGATGTATGGCCACTATCGGAACCACATTCCACAGATAACGATGGTTGAAAAATGATCTATGGTGCTCATCAATCAGCCAGAGCAAGTAATTGGTCAATCTCTGATTATATATTTTTGTTACTAAGATGGTGACGCACTTTCCAGCGTCTTGTTGCCACTTTCTCCTCACAACAGTGGCAGCACCCATTCTGGTATTGTAAAATATAATAGTCAGTAATGTTGCTCATAGATTTTAAAGCTTGTGGGTCATACAGACACGGCTGTTCCTCAAACAAATTGATGAATGATCCTCTCTTCCATCCGTTCATAACTGCCATAGTTAGTTAGCTAGCTAGTTAGCTAGCTATCTTGCTAATTTCACCATGCTTTTATGCTAACATTACAGTGGTTACAGAAAAAGAGCCGAACAAAGTTCACTCACCTGACGATAGCACTGTGCTTTCTTATTAAAAGCCTTAAGTTTTCAAGTTTTATTCATGTCGCAGCTAGCTAGCTAGTTCACTAATTACATCATGCAATGATGCTGCACTGGTTACAGAAAATGAGGAATACACTAATACGGGACTGCCAGCGCCTATTCATTTAGAAAGAGCAACGGCCAATGGGGAAACACAAACACTTACGTTATCACTGACGCTGACCACTGGTGTAACTTCATCACTCACTCACGGACAGACCTCTGCATTTATAGGGTTGGCCTTGCATGCCGCAGTCTAGCCAAAAAGCTAGAAATTAACATTATCAGTGAAAACATGTTTATGCCTCTTCGCCAGCAATAGCCATGGCTGGAAGCATTATGTTTTTGGGTTGACGGTCAGTCCCATTCTTGAAAATGCAATATCTCAAGAATGAGAATTTTCAGATTTGGCACAAACATCCATGGTGACTCAATGAACTGATTAGATTTTGGTGGTCATAGATTGAAGGGCATGTGTTTGGCCTTTACTAAATAATTCATCGGCTAATTATCACCAAATTTCAAACACATGTTTAATAGGATAAACTAATCAAGTGATGACATATTATATCCAAAAGGTCAAAGGTCAGCTTCATTGTGACATCATAATGTTCTACAAAAACACTTTTTTGGCCATTACTCAATGTCATTTATTAGGAACAGAAGGGGAGACATTTGGTCAGATACTGAATTTTTGATACTAATCTTGGCAGTCCACCTTGAAACTCTGCTGATTGTATAGCTGCAGATGTGTGTAAACCATCCATGTTTTCACAGACATGGATGTAAACTGTAACTGCAACTTGACTGGTTTGCGGAAAACATACAACCTCGGAGCTGTAATTCTAGTTTGTAATCTGTTACTGCATGTTTTTGCACCACCTTTAATGTGGCTTCTTTCCCCCACAGTGACGGAGATGCTGGTGAATGTACTGAACATATGCTCTGACGATGAGCTCATGTCGGAGGGAGATGACCTATACGAAGGTAAGAATGAGGGATTGTTATGGTGAATATGATGAAGACTTCCTTATATGTTTTGTTTGGTGATCAGCCTAAATACCTTTGTTATTTTTAATGCCCAGATTTTATTCTTTATTCTCAGTGTACCATGAGAACCATGAGTTCAACCTTAGCATTATGACAAGTAAAAACAAATGTGGGAAAAACGTTTATATTTCGCTTCTCTGTGTGAGAATCTTTAAATTCAATGATGTATGTCAGTGCTAAATGGTGGTTAATATTTTCTTGAGTCTAAAAATACATAGATGTAGTTCGTCCAAACTGCTTGTCCTGTCTTAACTTAAGATTCAAAGACAGGAAAAATCCTATCTTCCCATTACAGAAGCAATTCCTAAACTCATGGCTATGCCCTGCCTAAAACCTCTAAACTTAACTTAAGAAATCGATAACTGTAAATTCAGTTCTTCAGTCGGCACTCGTCCTGTCACGCTTGTATCTATGTTTAGACTGTAGCAGTAGGCTACTTGAGATGGACGAGCCAGAATATCAATGGCTATCACTTTTTCCTGGCTAACTAGCATTCTATCATGGACAAAAAAAAAAATAATAATACACCCATTAATCCATGGTCTGGGAAAGTTAGAGTATCATCGTACAGTTTCAGTAGCTTTTTAGTTATTATATTTCAGTTTTCATGTTGTTCCCCATCTTCATACATAACATCAGTGCTGCTGCCATTTTTTAAATTTATTATGAATTCAGTACAGGCTGTATTCCATACTAACTTTCTAAGTTGGGAAATCCCTAAGTTAGGGTGTTTCCTATCCTAAGATAAGATAGGATTTTTGCCCTAATGCAGTTAGGAAACATGTTTCTTTAAAACAAAATGGCCTAAAAGTCTAAACTGAGATAAGAAAGATTTCAGACATGAGAAGTTTCTGTAATGAGGCCTCTGGTTCTGTTCTTCTTTTGTAAATTGCATTTTCTGTTTAGTTATTAATTTGGATGAATTGAAAATGAGCTTAATTGACGTAGAGTGCTGGGAGCTACGCTTTTCATTCGAGGCGATTTATATGCTGCACTTCATCATAATTCAGTCGATGTCCCACATGTCTGATGTTGATGAGGGAGTTCTGCTCCCTGGAGTATAGCTGCTGTGCTTTGAAACACACCATTAAACCCTCAGTTTATCTCTGAAATGTATCAGCCATTCATCATTTGCTCTCTTCCCACAAGGCTTTTATACAATATCATAGTTATTTGAAGTAAGAACATTGATAGCAGTTGATATAAACAGGAGTATTGAATACTCAGGGTGGTATACTGTGTCTTAACCTCACATTCTGGACTTGTCTCAGGTGGAACCTCTGCGATGCGTAAGGAGGTCATCCGGAACAAGATTCGCGCTGTGGGGAAAATGGCCCGAGTCTTCTCAGTCCTCAGGTCTGACCCTGTCATTAATGCTCTCCCTTTGATGTACCTCTTCCTTTCTCATGATAACACTCAAATGGAAAAAGGCTTCTGTACATGTATATCCAGATCACAATGAGCTCAGTGGGGTGGGGGTCAGAATTACCACAATGAATTGCAGGTCACTATGGGGCCAGGAAGACTCTTAAGTGTTGGTGGAATGAATGGAGTCAGTTGAGTGCACAATGAAGTCGTATTTGAAAACACAATGTTGCCCTGCTAGGATTAATGAGCTGGCACGAGATGAGTCACAATGGACCTAGACTGTATAATGACATTAGACATTATTCCAGATTAATGCTGCTGCTCCTCCTACCTAGTCACACTGCTGCAAGTGGGCAAGATGTAGAGCAGCCTGTCGTTCAGACCAGTGCATATGGGTCATTGGCTTTAGAGGGTATTTCAGGAAAAAGTCAAATAAATAAAAAAGAAGGAAAATACAGGTTTGACTTTGACCACATTCATTTGTAAGATGAAAATAACGTCATGAGTAAATTTAAATATATGTTTTAAATGTTATTCAGAAGTGTTGGTTGTTAATCCCAGTGTCTTTTGACCCAGCAGTGGAGAAAAATATGGATAATATGAAAATTTAAGTGTGTTAACATGAAAGTGTGTTACCACAAATCTTAACACTTGTAAGCAGTCCTTAAAAATATTGCTTCAGCTGCTAAAATTGACACAAGTTGTCAGTGACCCACTTACAGAACCAGGACACATGTTAGCAGTGTGGCTGGAGGCAGTTAGAGCTGACAGTCTATCACTCTGTCACCACAGTGAGTGGGCACAGGTTGAATATCCAGTGATGATTGAACTTGTGACCTCCTGGTTACAAAACAGCCTTGTAACCACCAGGTGTGCATGCTGCCCTGCTTGCTGAAATGTAATCTATGTGTGTACCCTGTGTGCTTGTGTTTTGTATGTGGACTAGGGAGGAAAGCGAGAATGTGTTAACACTCAAAGGCCTCACCCCAACTGGAACTCTTCCTCTGGGAGTTTTGTCAGGGGGAAAGCAGACCTTACAGACCGGTAAGTGTGTTTTATACGCGATGACCCTATTCTTCCCTCCTTCCTAGCTGCCATTAAGCACAACCTACACTCCTTCCTCACCCCTTCTCACCAAGCATGTGTTAACTCTGAATATTTGCTGTGAGCAAACCTTAATTTTTATGGCATAAGGTGGTGCAGCTGTACATGATCTATTGCTCTTCTCACACCTCAGTACAGAAAAATATGCAAGACACTAGGTAATTGCAAAGCAGCAGCACAATAGTGTTAACATTTTCATCGTAAACCTGAAAGAATCATTACGTGCTTTCTTGCTGAGTATTAGATAAGCAGATTGATGTGTAGCTCTGAAGTCTGAAACTGAAGTGTAAAAACAACAATGTAGGGCTGTCAACGAATATTCTAAATTCGAATTTAAATTCAAAATTGAAAAAAAATTGGACCTTCGAATGTGAAAATTGATATTCGATTGTGGAGAGAAAAAAAAACACACCACCGCAGCTGTCCTCTTTGCGAGTGGGCGTTGGCCTGGGCCGCTGCACTGAAAGCACTGCATAAGGCCACACCGTCCACGGAGGTGCTGCGAGCCGGAGCACTTCTGTTCACATCAGACGCGCATTTCTCCATGCTGGTCGACAAGCGTTTCTGCTCCCAGCTGTTGTCTCCTTTACCCGGCTTGACACATTCGCTCGCGGCTCACGCAGAAAATAGACTAGAGCCAGCCACGGAGCTGCGTGGCGCAGCGCAGCCGGTGAGGATGACACAATCGGTTAACATGGGCGCCGAAAGGAAACTGGCTTCGCTTCGAGGCGCTTCGAGGCTCTTCACAGCGCTTCCGTGAGCGGTGTGGCCTGACGGGTCGGGGGCGAGCGAGAGGTCCGCGGTTGTTTCTAAAGTAATGTTATAGATAATTGTTTTATGTGTTTTAATGTGTAGGTATGTTTTCAAAGACGTTTATGTTGAAATAAAAATACCTACAAGTAGTTATGTTTCCTTGTATTAATACATATACAAGTATGTTTCCTTGTATTAGTTTGCCCTCTTGTGGACATAATGCGAAAGAAATTCGAATGGTTCGAATCTATGAGTTATTTTTAGAAGGAATATTCAAATATCATTTTTGAGCAATTTTGACAGCCCTACAACAATGTGACATTTTATATGTCACACTGTTTCTCTGCCGGGAGTTGTAACTTTATGAAATTTCTATTGTCTGCCTGCTCCCAGCTGGTTGACTCATTTTATTACCTTTGCACAGTGGCTAGCTAGCTGTTTTCCCTTGGTTTTAGTCTTTATGCTAAGCTAATTTACTGAATCATTGTGAGTAGGGATGTCAGCAGTTAATAGATTAATTCCCCAGAATATTTTTGACTGGTTTTACATGTTGGTCTATAAGTTAAGTTTGCTGCTCCTCAGTTTATTGCACTGCACAGGGCGCACCACCCAAGTTGGGTGGAAGCTAGCTGCTAGTGGCACTGCTCATTTGGCAGTTAACTCTAGGATGCTGTCCTGACTCAAAAGCATTGCTGTGGAAACATTTTGCCCACCTACAGTCTCCCCTAAGGTGACCCTGGTGAGCAAGTGCCTCAATTTGAGGCACAAACCCCCTTTTGCAACTGTTGTTAGCTCTGTGAGTGCTGATAGCAGTGTCAGCATGGTTACTGGTGCTAACAGAGTTAACAATGCTAAAGGGGTTTTGCATCTCAAAATAAAACGGCCCACTAACCGGGTTGCAAATTTACAAATCCTAGGATAGTGAAGGAATGGCTCGCCTTACTCTAACTTACTCTGCCTCTGATTGGCTTATCCTGACATTCTTACCCTAACCCTAACCAAAACCATCCTTCATGCCTACATCTAACCAATCCAATCAGCAAAGGGCTACCCAAACATTGGGAGAGTAGGGCGGGTCATTCTTTCACTATCCTATGATTTGCAAATTTGCCACCTGGGCAACCCTCGGGAAACTGGAGGGAGGCCAACATTTTTTTTTTCTTACATATTGACTAGATAGTTACAGGTTGATGGGTGTTGGGCTGCTGCAAGCAAAACTAACCAGAACTGACATCCCTAATTACCTCAGCCAAGGAGGTTATGTTTTCGCCGGCATTTGTCTGTTTGTCTGCAAAATAACTCAAAAAGTTTTTGAACGGATTTTTATGAAATTTTCCGGAAAGGTTGATAATGGGACAAGGAACAGATGATAAAATTTTGGTGGTGATCGGTTGAAGCGAAGTGGATAAAATAATAAAATGGTGGGAAATCCGAGCTGCTTGGCGGAGGTCTGCACTCTCCGAGTGCTCTAGTTGTGATTGGTATTCATGCAGAGCTATTCCTTCAAGCAGAAGATAAAGATCGTAGACATACTGTATGGAAACAGCTGTTTCATTTGCTACTCTCATGTAAAATAATTATGGAGAAGGTGTAGAGGTCAGTATCACTGTACATGCTGGAAGAAATCCATACTGAAACACTTTTATACTATTGAAACCAAAAACAGCAATTCAGTTTAAGTTATTTCTTATTCCTGTATGGAACTCACCAAATAAGTAGTTATTTCCAGCACAGCTACAGTAGAGTCTGATAACATTTTCATCACTTTGAAAAATGAAAGTGACTCCTTTAATAACTTAGGATTCCTCAGTGTTTAAAAGTAATTGTGGGACAGATCCAGTTTCAAAAGAGGCAGAGATTTTAGCTTTTCCACTGACAGTATTGTAATCGTTCCTGATGCAATGCAGCCACAGCTTCTGTCTTTGGCTGCGTTCAGACTGCAGGCGAATCTGATTCAAATCTGATTCCTTCTCAAATCCGATTTTTGACTGCTGACTGTCCACACTGTTTTTAGCAAGTGTCCAAATCGGATTTGGCTCTGTTCAGACTGGGCAACATTATTGACCAATCTGACAGGTTGCTGTGGCAACGACGTCGGAGCGGAGGCGTCATCGAGCGTGTATTGTGTGAAGTCATATAAGGAGCTGTTCAGACTCAGACACATCTGTCCAAATGCGATTTGAAACTACCTCCCAAAGGTGGTTTCGATCTGGTTTGCAAAAATCAGATTTCATGTCATTTATGACTGTTCAGAATTAATAAGAGCCATCTGGTTCCAATCTAGATTGGCTAAAAATCGGATTTTGGCTGGCAGGCTGAACAAGGCCTTTGTGGATCTGTGATCACTGATGTAAAATTCAATTGTTGGAATAGTTTTGTGAACTGAACCAACAAAGCAGAGAACATAATTGTTCTTTCCAATTTTTATTCTTGAATGGAAAAGCGTACTTCACTTGTACTTTCAATCTTTGCACCTCCCACACCTCCCACAAAAATACAACACAGAGAACAACAATTCTCTGGGAAATGTGGGTAATATCTAATAAAGTTTGAGGAGGCATTTTGGTTTTTGCATATTTGAGCCCATTTACAGTCCATCCTCACCTACTCGCCTGGTCCTTCCTTAGTTTTCATCCCTACAGCCTAAAAGTTACCGCATTAAGCAGATCATCTGATAATTAAGAAAATATTTTAAATATAAGCCATTGTGATGCAGAATATATCAGTGAATTTAAAAAAAAGGCAGTTAGCCCAGTGGGTGTGTGCAGATATTGATCAGTGACAGTGGCCAATCTTGACGATGGTAGCGATAAACTTGGTTGCTAAAAAGGTTACACTTTGCACATCTTTTAGCAAAAAGTGTGATCAATTAACCTGTTGGTTCTTAGTAAATCAGATGCTAGGAGCTATTAGAAACCCATTCTTCATTTTTGTGCACTCTGGCTGGCTGCCACTCCATAAAATACATATCCATCAGTTCTATGGTGCTAAATGTTTTTACACTGGTGTCCATCCTCAGTTGCACCCACAGAATCAATCAGTGCACCACTGATTAATCAGAATTTTTATAGTCACCAGATATTGTTATGGCCATTGGTGATGATGACGATAAAGCTGTCCATCACATCCAGTTCAGGGAAACTAGCTTTTCTGTCCTGCTAGCCCCTTTGAAGGGTTCTAGATCAATGACGGCATGCCCACCACAGGAAGCACTGGCTAGACTATGGCTGGAGCCCCCCATCTACACAGCAGAACGTTTACGGCCTCAGCTGTGGGCTGGCTGGTCGGGGAGGTCAGCCTGTCACCTGGAAGTGTCTACTGACCCTCTGATCTAAAGGTCAGTGCCTGGCTTTGCCTGCCAGAGGACATGCTGGGAGTCATGCTTTGTCACACTGGAAGCTTACAGAAGTTGCCAAGCAATCGAAGGAGAAACCACGTGTTGTTGACCTTTTGGAGAATGTCATTGTCCATGTCCACTCCCCTAGCCACAGCTTTCAGATAAGCTAGGCCTTCTTGATTTTTCACTTTTTTCCCTGAGCGCTGCCTGTAGTTTTTGAAGCTACTGTACTACTGCTGACAGTTTGATCTTTCACCTCATGTATTGTGTCATAGTAGATGACAACCAACGCCTCACGACATCCCAACAGAAAGTCTTGCATGTTTGATTTTCTTTTTGTCGTTCACGACTTCTTCCGTCACAGCTGTCACTTTGACCAATAGAAACACAGAGTGATCTGCTGCCGTAGACAACTGTATGACAACAGCCCAGCCTTTTAGATATTTCCTCCAGAAATGTTACCACATAGAAAAGAGAAAAATTACAGTGTGAAACAGCAGATGCACTTTAGTGACCCAGTGAGTACTGCCATTAGCATCAAGCGAGCAAACAATGTTATTTCTTCATAATGAAGGATATAAAAGAATAAAATGATTAAATAGATGCAGGGCTTTACTGACCACAACTGTATAGGGTACCAGCTTCATTTGAAACAGACGACATTAGAAACACCATTTCCTCTGTATTTTTCTATTTTTACTTTTGTTCCAGTTCTGTTTGCCCTGTTACATTTAATGCATCGCGCCATCATTTCAAACTCAACACTTCCTGTTGCTGTTTCAAATTAAAAGCCCCTCATAACTTTGGTTGAGAGAATCCCTTCATTTTCTAAAAAAAAGCTTTTTTTTAATTTCAATTAAATTTAATTAAAGTTAATTTTTGATTAATTAAATTAAATTTAATTAATTTTATTGTGAAACATTTGCAGGAACTTGTTGTGGAGAATTAAGTGACTTGCACAGTTTGCATACTTCAAATGTAGCTCCTGCCATCTGGTGGCTTTTTTTTTTATTTTATTTTTTTTTTTAACGTTATTACAATAATATTTGAGCTGGCACATGAACAGCCATAGAGACTAAAATAATAGCAATAATAGAAATAGGACAAGAATAACTCGATGACATCACACATGTCGTGAAAGACGACCAGTGATGATTGGTCATGGACCAACATGTAGTCTATCATGTCTGACGGCCAAGTCACGGCACGATTTTATGACCCCACAATCGGAATTGGAACAGACCAAAATGTTGTGTAGTGTGTACCCGGAATAAGTCAGCATCTTCAGTCTGTTATCTTAAAACAGCTCTCATCTTGAACACATAGCCATTTCTCTGAGAAATGATATTTCATGCTCTCAGATGATTGTCTCCATTTGGAGATGCAATCAATCAAATAAGAATTACAACTTGCCAGATATCCATTTTAAAGAAGAAATATGAATCATGTAAAGTTCACCATTGAGTATTTCTGACTTCTACTCTCTTGTATTTTTTTTTTCTCTTTTTGGATTGAAGTTGTATTTGATGTGTGTGACTTAGTGAATGTGTGTCTGAGAGAACGTCTGACTGCATGTGTACTGCAGCTTTGTCGTTGTGGAAGGCTGCATCGTACAAATATGTCGCCTTGCGTGGGCATTGTTACGCATCTCGCCCTGGCCTTAGACTCTTAGTGCTCAGCCAAATCCCCCCTCAGCTCTCCACACCTAAGTCCTCATGACCCTTTAACACCAACACCATCTTAAATCTCCAACAGGCTTGTTTTCTCTAACCTTTCTACCTACTAATGTGTTTTGAAGTTTTTACAGCTGCTTTGAATTCTGCATCCATAATGACTGTGCCACAGGTGTTGGCCTATATTCTACTGTCTGTTGTCCCTGTTTACACTGGGGTTTACCATTTGATTTACTGTTGTATCTGCTGTCTATGGCTGTCTTTGATGACTCCCTTTTTCCCCCCCTTCCTCAATTCCCATTAACATAGCTACGATTGAGGCAGCTAAAGCAAAAGGTACGCATGGCTGTCATAGCTCAAATTTCACGTGTTTGTTTTGTGTGTGGTGTTCACTCTTTAAACACAGATTTGTACTTTTTTTCTTAGTTTAACTTTACTCTTAGTGCCTCAGATGTTTTAATATTACTGATTATTGAATTACTGTATATCTCTTTATTGCTGGTTGCTCTTGCATTATCAGTGTCTGTTGGATCACAGCGGTTCCATCATTCTCAAAGTATTTTATGAAGCACTTTTCATATATAGGGCAAAAATCAAACAATAAAAGAATCATAGATAAGATATGAAAAGATGAACATGATACAAATTGAAAAGAAGCTTACATAAGAAAGTAAAGTAAAGCCCATGCTACAAAAGAGACAGTTATGTGTATCAGGTTTAGGTCCTGGCTTGTCCCTTGTTGACAAGGGACAATTTCCCGGCTGTGGTCACATGGGCTTTTCTTGCCAAGTGTGGCTCCCCACACAGAGAAAAGCCAGCTAAGACCTGGCTAAGATAAGACCAGGGACATCCCTGCCTGGGATATTTTCAGAAGCTAATCCTGTTACACCATTTGACTGTTGCTACACTGGCTGCCCCTTCTGGTTGATCGTGGCTTCAACAGGCTTCAGCCACGAAAACCACTTTTTCATCACATACTAGAAATGTAAAATATTTAGCCCTGGTTTTGGTGCAGAACACATCAACAGTTAGTTCAAGAATCTTTATTGTCCCCTAGGGGCAATTAGTTCCACAGCTAGTAGTTAACAAAACAACATAGAAACAAATATATATGTCAAGACAACACAAACATTGAGTCAAAACAAGTCATTTAAAAGTCTAATCGCTGCAGGGGAGTATAACCTCATAAGATGGAACAAAGGGCCAATCAGGTAGCATAACTTAAAGCAGTGGTTCCCAAACTTTTTTTTTGTCTAATACAATTGAATTGTCAGTGATTAGGTTGGTTTTTATCAAGTTTGTATCATTACCTCATAAAGAGGCTGGACCTTTCAACCATTTATCTGTTACTCATAGCTATCTATCTCAACTGTTTATCCAACACTTTCAGCTAATTATTTCAACTGTTTAACTAACACCTTTAGCTTATCAATTTTACTGTTTAACCATCACATTTAACTAATTATTTAATTAGTTAAATTTATTTTAACCGGTTAATTAATACTTTGGGCTTTTTTTCAGCTATTTTATACTTTTGGCCAATTCTTTTAAGTGTTAAACCATCACTTTTGGCTAATTATTTCAACTATTTAATCATCACTTTTAGCGAAGTATTTAGACTGTTTAATCACTGCTTTTGAGATAATTATTTTAATTGTTTAATCATTACTTTTGGCTGATTATTTCTACTTAAGCAGTTGAACTGTGTAAACTATATATCCATTACTTTTAGCTACCTATTTCAGTTTCTACATTTCCTTGCTAACTGGTTTTTATGCACCCTCAATGGTAACAATTGGCTTAAAGGTATTACAACAGATGCTGAGATGTGTGTACCATGCAGTCAGTATACTGAAGCTAGGCTAGGTAGCGTACTGGTTGTTATGAAAGTAAATTTACTAAAGATCAGAACACCAATTTGTAATTCTATTTATATGTTTATTTTTCTCTTAAACACATATATGTTATATATCTATTTGATCATATTATGATTTAGATTTTGTAGTAGTGGTAGTAGTCCACAATCTCTCCATGTCCCTGCGGCAACTGTACAAGTACCTCCTGTGGAACAACTGCCTCTGGTTGGGAATCACTGACTTGGGGTTAAATAAATGAGCAAGGGCTTCATTTCGACAGATCTCTGGTTGTGCAAGAGCACCCTTTGAGGACCTTGTTTCCTTATTCACCTATAAAACCTTCACCTCAGTGTTTTTATTTTAAGTTTAAGTTGATAATGAAGTGATTGAAAAGTATGTCAAAACAGTCCCTTACAAGTTTGCTTCTCATTTGCACACCTTTTCTGTCTGGTTTCCTGGGCTGTTTCGGGATGTTACCGTAAGTCTACAAAGTGTGAGGTGTTTTACTGTTGTAGCTTGTCCCACTGGTGTTTGAACACTATAGGAGTCATTGTTTACTGTGCATGTGTTGTATTCACTGATCATCTGTACTGTGCTAGGCTGATACTGTGTTTTGTGAAATTCCGCAAGGAATCCGAGCTAAAGAAAATAGTTTACAGCAAATGTTTGCAGCGACAGGAGGAGGGAAAATACTCAAGCATGCCCGGCTTCTGATTTTGCTCTTTGGTTTCCCTTCAGCCATTCAAGGCTTTTCTCCCACAAGGAAGATTCGTAACTTCGAGGAGGCACGTGGCCTGGACAGGATAAATGAGAGGATGCCACCGCGCAAAGACGGCCAGCAGCCAGATGGCACCACGATCAACACCAACACCCCCAACAAGAATGGCACCGATGGATAGGCAACAGAAACACCACCTTCCCATCTTCACACAACCCACACCCCCTGACTCATAGCCCCCAATCACTCTCTGTCTCTCTTTCTCTCTTTTTCTGTCTCTCTCAGTCTGTCTCCTCTACTGAAACTGCCTGTCCTTCTTCAGCTCGCTCACAGTTGGGCGGGGAAAGGAAGCGGACACATCAGTAGATCAAAAAAAAAGGGAGGCCACAGGGCTGGGAAAAACTCCCAGCCACTGAAAAAGACAAACATATGATGTGTTATCAGGGGGAAAAATATTTAGTGAAGATGAAATATATTAGATATATTGTTTAATAGCAACAAATCATTTGATGAAGACATTTTGCAGTTGTTCAAATGTATACCGTACACTGAAGTCCTAACTTATACATGTTAAAGTTATAAAAAGGAGAATTTTTTAAGAATTTGAGTTAATACAAATAGATAAAGCCTTTGTTATCAAGGAGTTTTAGTCACTTTGTTTTTTTTTATTCTCCATGTGTTTGGTAAGGAAAATTTTGAAGTATAAATGCTGTAGCCTCAACAGCTAATTTGGATCATGCAAGATGTTTTTGGCTCTTGAGGTTCTACATACAGTGCAGTGTTTGCTCATGTGTTCAGTTGAAAGATAATTTATGTGTATTGAGAAGTGAAATAAAGGATAAGGGAAGTAAACTATGTCAGAACAACTATTACAAATTAATATTTTATACTTGAAGCAGAATTTAAGGATTTAATGAAGACTTAGTGTCTTATTTATAAATTTTCCACAAAACTTTGATGAGTCCCAAAGATGCTGAATGTTCAGTATTTTGTTCCAGAGTAACAAACATTTCTTCCTGTATTATATTTTGTGAATGAAAAGTCTGCGAATCCTTCAGTGAAGTGAAGGGTTAATGCTTTGTGTGCAATGATAGTTGCTGTCGCTGAATGTTGTGTGCTGGTTATAACTTGTGTTCACTTGATGGCAACTAGGACATTCTCGCTCCGTTAAACCAAAAAAGGGATACACAGTACAGTATGTCTTATTCTATCACCACAGCCAGACCTGCCAATACTCCCACATCCCGATCGGAAGCACTTCTTCTTCTCAAGCGCTGAAGTTAAGCCGACCTCTCTGGGGTTGAGCCCTGCGCATGAAGATTACGGCATGACAAACCGGTGGACAAAAAGGAATAAGCTTTTCTCTTGAGTTGACATTTCGGACAAACGAGGACATATTTGCCCAGGAAGCAGGGGAACTGCTGGCCATGCTGTCTTCAAAACAGACTGATGTTCATTATTGCTTAGGAAATTTCAATGTATTTAACAGAATTATGGCAGTTTGATTTGATGTTATATTGTCGAACACTTTAAAAAAAGAAAAAAGAAAAAAAAACAGGCTGTGCTTTTGGGGCTTTCCTTTGTTTTTGAAGCTGTATTAGTGTCTCCATCTACTGTTGATTATACAGAATGCAGATGTTTTTTTTGAATTGTGATATCCGTGCACATCAAATAAGGGAAACATTTGGCATTCAGTGAAATGACAGCGTTTTGACAATGCTGTACTTACACACAATGGACTGAGTCATTCCCCTCTGTAGGGATGATACTATAAAAGGTACCACCGCCACACAGCTGTCTATCAAGGCCTAAGAGCACTGTAATCATCTCAACCATGGCTGACTCACACACAGTATATGATTTTTACAACTCGTGGTCGTACCAAGATGGGGACCATTAACACTTGCTGAGATCGTTGGTGTGTATATGCTTTTCTGCTCTCAAGTATTCAGCTCTCCTCTGGCCACAGCACCTCCACTCCTCTTCACGGGCACTCTCAACCCTTTAAGACGTGCTTTTACTAAGACATACGACCAACTCAACTGGTGCTCCGACACACCTGACTGTAATTCTGTTGTCTTTCTGTCACTCAACAAAAAGTGAGGAAATAACCTTTAAGATTTACTACTCTCTTCTTCTTCTTCTTCTTTTTTTTCTTTTTAAATGAGGCGTTTGTGCCCATGTGCCATGCCACCTTGGCCACACATGTCAAGATCTGTATGTGTGTGTGAGTGTGTGGTTGGTGAACGGAGTCAAGCAAGGAGACTTTTAATCACGTGATTAAAGATTCAATGTCAGTAACGTTAATCTCGATATCCTTAAAATTTCCAAAATATTGTTGTTTGCCGTTCTGTTTAGTAGACTTTTGGGAAAGCTTCCTAAAGATTAAGTATTTCGGTTTACATAACTGTGATATTAAAATTAGTTTTAAAGGTAAGGCTTTATTGGGTGAGCCATACAGTATACTGACCTCCTGTTAGGTCCTATACATATCTTACAGAATGTAAAAAAATATATTGTTCCTTAAGAATCTTATAATAGCTGTAAAAAGGGGTGAAAAAATTGTACCGTACTTATCATGCGAGGCCATTAAATCTTTTACGTAGATGTATCACTTAAAAGAAAAGAATAAAATTCAAATACAGTGTTTTATTTGACTTGTTTGGATGTTGGTTATTGTTATTTCACCTAAAGCAGCATCAGATACCCTAGAACTTTAGCAATCTTCAAACCACTGGCCATCAGTCTGATGACGATAAGCCTCTGGGGGCAACAGCCAATATTTTGGCCGGATCCAGTTTAGCCAGCAGATATCCGAGCCAAGACTTCCTCTTTCTTGCACTGCTCATTTTGGCTAATCTATATAAAAAGATATCTGCATATGATGGCAGATAAATTTGAAAACAAGCAAATATCAGGTTAAATTGTCTTCAGATGATAGCCAATGGGTTCCAAGTTGGGGCTGTCCCCCCCGAAGAATTTAATTTACATAGCTGAATCTGATTCAAGTCTTGCCAATTTGTATTGCTCATTGGTCCATGTTCTCTTTTGTGACATTAGTTTCCATTTTTCCACACCAGACAAGAAAGCTGAAGCACCCAGTTAAATCAATTTGTCTTCTTGATTTGGCATGAGAATTTATTTTTTATAGGATGTCTGTCTGTAGCACTGAAAGGAAGCAGAGCATATTGAATGTCCGACAGGCAGTCAGAACATGTCACTGTTCTGACTGCCTGACATGTCACATGTCACTGTCATTTTGCTTGCTTTTTTGTGGTTGTAAACAGAACTATCTCTTTTCTCTTGGAGAGACTGCAAACCGCTGTTTGTATGCACCTCCCCTCTCCGATTTTGAGAGAAAACCATTCATAAGTTGAAAAATAATACCCCTTTTCCACCAACATGGATCCAGTTCTATTAAGGTTCCTGCACCTATTTTGAACCATTCAGAGCATTTAAAACGAAAATAAATTGGTTGGTTCCCAGTTCAAATGTGGGCTGGTTTGCTAAATACCTCCAAAGTTCTAAGAGTCCTGGACGGAACCAGTTCAAGAACCAGAGCTACATTCGTATGTGACTGCTCTGATTTATACATTTATACCAAAATAGGTTATATGTCATGATTTATTGGAAGACACCAACCAATTCTATGTTAAGTCAGACATTTAGCACCCCCATATAGCCTGAATGGAATGATCCTTTCTTTCACAACCACATTGTCACGCAACGATTGCTTAGTAGTCGAATCAAGCTCCTTAGACCGAAAAGTCGACTACTCTGGGTCACCCCTACTTGTGAGATTACATTTCGGCCAATGTGTTCCACCGATCCACATGGACTGTTTACCTGCCGCTCAAACGTGATTGGTCAATGCTACTGGCACTTAAAAAAGAAACCAGAATATTTCTAATTTTAAAATCTTGTCCCTTTTCCGAAGATTCTGCATACATGTGCTGATGTCTGTGCATAGAGATTGGAACTTCATTGCCTCCAAATAAAGGTCTCTGATTTTTGATGGCTTCTCTATACGGTGATAATACCATGAGTGAACAAAGAAAACTGGATGTATATGTGGAGACAGGGCCCTGTTTATTCATATGAAACTTCCTTAGTGGAGCATGAAGCCAAAGATGATTGATTGATTTTCAGGTAAAAATGTACCTGAATCATCAATAGGCCCATAGAGCCAGAGCACTAGCATTTCCTTTAACCCTGCCTCCAAACCGCTAGGTTTCGAGCTCACTCTCATCAATGACAGTGGGGAAATGAATCTGGATTTGTCTATTAGTGAGTTTTAAAACTGAAGTGTTTGTACCAAGAAGTTAATGTACCTCAGAAACAGTACAGACATCACAACTTAAGTCCATGGAAAAAAGTCTTTATGCAGCTTTAAGACAGGACAAGTGTGTTAAAAAAAAAATCCAAGTATAGCTTTAAGATTTTGCTTTTTGTACACAATGCATTTATACAAAACAATAACAGTTTCCCATTATTAAATTTCATTAAGTAGTTCTGTTTGCAACACTTTTTTGTGACACATCATAGACATTTTTGCTCAGAGCTGCCTGTTACAACCCTACCCTCTTTCAGTAGCATAATCTGGGGTCACTGCCTCCCTCGAGGGCAAACGGTTAAAGCAGAGAGGAGTAATATTCAGTCACAGGCCTTTTAAAATCAAGATTACTACCACCTGGGTATGGGCTTTCTTTAACACAATTTAGGACAGTAACATGATGTCTTGTGTTTTTCAGATATTGGCTACATTTCAACATATACAGTCATCATTATCATTATTTACTATAAATCCTCGCTGCTTTGAACCCTCATGTTTCACAAGTTACAAGGTTTTGGTTAGAAATGCGACAAGCAACATTTAGAAAAACCCCACCACCTTCAGCCTCAGTACTGACTGTGAAACCTGGGTATTTTATTTTGTACCTGTTCACATAGAGAACTTGAAACAAGCAGCACTATGATAAATGTGCATTTAAAAAATGTATTTACATAAACCAGATAAGAAATAACAATAAATTACAACCTACATTGTCAAATGTTTTGCTTAAATCTCAAGCAGTGTGCTGATTGTAGAACATAAAAATTATATTTTATTTATTTGGAAATTAACTTGATCTTGTTTAACATGGTGTATTTTTGTCTTAACACTGGGTTCTGCCATTGTCTACACTCTCACAGACCTAATGTGTCTTCTTACAAAAAAATCATTTCATCTATTACTGTCTTGTATTTTAATTGATAATTAATGAAGGTATTGCTTGAGATTTAACAAAAAATATGGACATGTAGCATATTACAGAACTTAAGAGGGGCAAGGTAAATGCAGTCCTAATCACTGTTTGTTTTCTGAAATCTGAGTTAGTATTTCTATTAAATTGCACTGTACTGCACTAGAGTGCCTGAAATGTTGGATCAAGCTAATGAAAGCAGTTCAGGATATTTCTGAGGCTTAAAAATACAACATGAAATATCAACAAACAACTGCAGTCGCTGAATACTGATTCACAATTGAATCTAGTCTTGTGCAATATTCTGTACCGTTTTTGTGACAAAATAACACAACATGTATAAAATGATATGGCTCACATTCAGGGCCAGAGCTGTTTGCAGTTGTACAAACCCCAACCCTGTATAATAAAAAAGTGCCTTAAAAACAAGTTCATCCCTGTAATATCAAGTCCTCAGTGCATGGCAAGCAAGTAACAATTTTAAATCCAGTATGTTCATCCTGCACGCTGCACGTCACTGGAACAAACACTCGATCGTGCTTCAGACAGCGTTGCAGTGGAAAAAAACTGCAGAGGAAACTGCTTCTCTGGATCACCAGCAGCTGCTCGTTGGGGACTATGGACAAAGAAGAGTCTCTCCAGATTTACAAAGGGGTGGCACAGTGTCAGACATCAGACCTTTGGTGGAGGTACTGGCCTCAGAGCCTAGAGGACAAACCAAAAATAGATGTTTTAATTGACCAAGCTTTAAAGGAATAGTTAGACATTTTGTGAAATTCACCTTCTTGCTTTCTTGCAGAGAGTTAGATGAGAAGATGGATACCACTCATGTGTTAAATATGTAGTTGCAGGCAGTAGCTAGTTAGCTTAGCTAAACATAAAAGCTAGAAGCAAGGGGAAAAAAGTGAGCCTTGGTCTGTCTAACATCTACCAACAGCTCTAAAGATCTGGGTGGTTGTGTTTTACAGCCCATTATGTGCTGGATTACTTCTTGGCAGGTGTCAGTGGCAGATTAAAGGAGCTCTATACAATATTCAGATCATATGGGTTGTCTGCATATGGTTCTCAACATGGCTGAGCTAGGGGCTAGCAGCTAATGGTGCTAACTCCAAAAACAGCGTTAAAAACAGTAACGGTGCTGACAGCTAACAGTGTTAACCAGGGTGGGGAACTGGAAGGTGGGAGATATGCTACCACAATGACCCCATTCCAATATCAGCGATAAGCATCATGTGAGCGCAGTGTAGAGTGGTTGTGATTAGCTAGCAGTGGGATACACACATGCACCAAGCCCCCAGAAACAGTATCGGGCTATGAAGCTAATTTAACATAGTGGCCAAAAGTGGAATTACACCATCGGGGACTGTCATGGAGCCCAAAAAGGCTTCTTCCCCCATAGACTTACACTGTGAAAAAGGCGTCCGTAAATCAGTGGATACATTTTTTTGAGCGTTACAATCCCTGCAGAACGACTCATTTCACTATCGGTATTTGAACTATTCAGTCAAAAAACATTTTGAAAATCTAAAAGAGTGGCACAGTTAAATTATTTTATCCCCATTCACATTTAACTAAATCAGAAGTTTGCCATTTGGCCGGTGGAAGTTAGCCACTCGGCCACCATAAGTCTCTAGTGTGATTGTTCTGTTGGCCCTGTAATGGGCAAGTAATTTCAAAACGTGGCAGCAGAACTCATAGGAATAAACGGCGCCCATACAGGGGAGAAATACAAAACTTGATTTTGTCTGTGCTTTTCTCTTGTGGCTTTAATATAAGTTATTCACACATAAAGAAACATACGGCACCCCAGCTGGTGCCAATCTGAATGGTATACCTGATCAAACTGTTAGTGAAGAAGTATGTAAAGATTTTGATTGTATCTCTTCGAACGTTGTGGTGTTTAATACAGTGTCAAATGAGTGTGAGCTGTGTGTAATGTGGCAGGAATCACAGTTACCTGGCGTGCAGCTGTGTAGTTCTGGCTCGGAGGTTTAGGTCTGTTCCCTGCTGGCGGAGGTGGAGGTGGAGCTGCTTTGGGCTTTCGCCTTCCACCCTAAAATTTCAAGTAATATTAATGAATGCACAGTTATATGTCATATGCAAACTCAGCATCTGTAGTACACATTAGTTCAAATTACCTGCACTGGCATGGGTTGACTAGGAACTGGTGCACTGTTTAGGTGGTGAGCGGAGCTGTTCACTGCTGTCGGCTTCCTCCGCGTTTGTGTACTGTTAGAAAATGAGGGACTCAAGTGAGTTTACAGCAACATACATAGCTAAACCAAGACCTGAAATAGGGTGATGATTACTTACGTTGGCAATATGGGACTTTGGCGTTTTTTCCACCAGAATCCTAACACAGCAGCAATGATACCTAAAACCACTAGAACAACTACCACTGCGATGGCAATAGCTGGTCCTGCAGAAATGGAATGGAAATCAGTTTTGTTTGGATGCAGTGGTGCAACATCAGTGGTTTATTAAATTTAATATTAGTTGTGCAGAAAGCACACATTTTGATACTAATGAACAAGTATGGGAGGGTCTTACCTGTAGAAATGGGATTCAAACTTGTATCCTTGGACTCGCAGTAAGGAGGCATCCAGCCAGGCTCACACTGACACTCACTTCTGTGGTTGCACACCTGAAAAATACAACACAAATCCTGCCATTATCAGATGTTATCACACTGTGTTTAATGACCCCTGTACCAACATTAAGGGAATACTTCACCCACAAAATGACCATTTGTATATCAGTTACTCACTCTGTGTTACGCTGAATTTGTGAAAAAACATTTTTAATGCATGCCTTCACAGTGAACGAAGAATCCAAAAACAGAAACAATTCTTGATGACTTTAAGTAAAGGGGGGCCATGTTGAACAATAACAAAACTATATCAAAACACCTGTTTACAATCTCTCACACAACTCATGCAGTATAATCCAAGTCTCATTTATCGAGTCCTATGCTGAGTACCTCCCAAACACATGTATTTTGCACGTTTTGCTCAAACTTCTGATTGGTTCTCCTTTCATTTTTTTTAAATTGTACAAAACAAAAATAATACTCTAATCTTGCTTAAAATGTTGAAAAGCATGTTTCATCTTCTACTCACTTAACTATTCACAATTATAGAAATTTTGACCAGGGGTGCCCAAACCTTTGCATGCCACTGTATTTGATTATCTTCAGAAAAATTCAGTAATCCACTCATATAACACTGGACTTGTAATTCGTCTGCATCCTCCTACAGGATTTAGAACAACTCCACCAGTTCTCTGTCACATACAGGTGAAACTCAGCTGTGGAATAAGTATCATTGTATTGCAACACAAACCTCCTGCCTGTCTCACAATCTGTAAATCCAGGATAAGTATAAAGTTGTATATTGTGTCGTTTTCTGTCCTTGTATCTTATTTAGCAGTCGTAATTGTAATTGCTGTAATTTGAGTTTTCAAAACTTTTAATCATGTAAAGGTCCAGTGTGTTGCATTAAAGGGGGATATACTGGCATAAATGGAATGCAATTTTCATCATTATATTTTCATTAGTTTATCATTACTGAAAGAGGTGTAGTTTTAGAATCAGCTGTTTATATCTACACATGGAGCAGGTCATCTTCCATGGAGTCCGTTGTATTTTATTTTATTTTTTTACAGTAGCCCAGAATGGACAAACCAATGCTGCATCAGCAACTGTAGTTCTCCTAAAAGTTTCAGCTGGTTGCAATCTGCAATCTTACCATAAATGCCACTATATCATACACACTAAACCTCTAATGTGTTACTTTTGTTACCCAAATAACAACGACAAAAAAACAACCAGATTAATAGATATTTAAAATAAATTCTGAGCTGTGTCGACATGTACTTACAGCATGGCCGCTGCATTTTGCCGAACAGTTTACATTTCTGTACGCTGTCTCAAGCTCCACACACTGACTCTGGCTGCACACCTTGAAAAAAAAGTGAGAGAGACATTGCATACTTTGATACGTACTGCAAAGTAAGTGTAATTTCTCCATTGACTGTGTAGCAATCATGAACAGAAAACACATTAAAAGAACGAATAACTGTTTAAAAACATATTTTAAAAAATCATTCAAGAGGCTAACAGAGCTTATTACCTTTCCATCCCCACATTTGGTCCCAGTGTCCACCTGGCCGTAGTCTTTGGTGTGGTCCTCAAAGAAAGCTGCCTTGCAGTCACCGACCCTGACCATGCGGCCGTAGGCTGGGTTGGCATTACCGCCATGGCAGAAGAGCTTCCCACAAAACACGTCTCTGCAAAGGAAAGAGTGGGGTTAAATATGTACACAGAGCCAATTCTAACTACAAGCCCAATTCTAAAACAGATGGAACGCCATGTAAAATGTAAATAAAAACAGAATGCAATGATATGTAAACCCTTTTTGACTTATATTAAACTGAATACAGTCAAAAAGACAAGATCTTTAAAAATCAAACTGATAAACATTATTGTTTTTTGCAAATATACACTTATTCTGAATTTGATGCCTGCAGCACATTTCAAAAAAGTTTCCCACTGTGTGACATCACCTTTTCTTTTAACAGCATTCAGTAAGTGTTTGGGAACTGAGGACACTAATTGTTGAAGTTTTGAAATCAACATTCTTTCCCATTCTTGCTTGATATACGACTCACTAGTTCCCCAACAGTCCAGGGTCTCCGTTATATTTTGCACTTCATGCCACACATGTGGGAGTCAGGTCTGGACTGTAGACAGGCCAGACTAGTACCTGCACTCTTTTACTATGAAGCCACACTGAATGTGTCTCATTGTCTTGCTAAAATAAGCAGGGACTTCCATGAAAAAGACATCATCTAGATGGCAGCGTATGTTACTTCAAACCTGTATGTACCTTTCAGCATTCATGGTGCCTTCACAGATGTACAAGTTACCCATGATGCCATGGGCACTAACACACCCCTATACCATTTGAGCTGGTAACAATCCGGATGATCTTTTTCCTGCTTAGTGCAGAGGACACCACGTTCATGATTTCCAAAAACAATTTTAATTTGTGGACTCTTCAGACCACAGCACTCTTTCCACTTTGTCTCAGCCAGAGACATTGGAGGTGTTTCTGGATGCTGTTGGCTTTCTCTTTGCTCGGTTTGCACGGAGTCTTAACATGCATTTGTAGATGCAGTAATTAAATCTGTTAACAATGGTTTTCCAAAGTGTTTCCGAGCCCATGTAATAATATCCTTTATGTAATCAAGTCAGTTTTTAATGCACTGCAGCCTGAGGGGTCGAAGGTCACAGGCATTCAATATTGGTGTTCAGCTTTGCCCCTTACATGCAGAGATTTTTCCAGATTCTCTGAATCTTTTCATGATATTATGGACTGTTGACAGTGAAATCCTTAAATACTTTGCAAGAATGCATTGAGATACGTTGTTCTTAAACTCATGGCCTGTTTGCCCACACAGTTTTTCACAAAGTGACCGTCCTTGCTTGTGAACATCTGAGCCTTTCAACGATGTCCCTTTCATATACGATAATGATACTTACACCTGTTACGACTTTTGCAACTTTTTTGTTGTTGAATGTTCCAAAAAGGTGTTTTTTCAGTAATCCCCAACTTTTCCAATCTTTTGTTGCCCCTGTCCCAAATTTTTAGTTTATCAGCTTAGACATTAAACATCTTGTCTTTGGACTGTATTCAACTGAATATAAGTCAAAAAACATTTGCAAATCATGCAGTCTGTTAATATTGATGTTTTACAGTGTCCCAACTTATTTTGAATAGAGGTTGCAATTCCGCAAGCAAAAAAACCTTAATGTAATGTCAGTGATCAGTGTATCAGGGTGTCTCTTACCACCTGTGTAATGGAAATGTTTTGTCCCTTCCGATCAAAATACTCCTTCAAAAAAAGCTGTAAATATGTCTTTTTAAGGACAAGGACAAGCAGTCTATTTAAAGATCAATGTATCACCTGACATGTATGGATGCTGAACATGTTAAAACAGGATTTTTGTGGAACTCAAATTGTTAATTGTACCATATTGGTCTATGCACATCAGGTCATTAGTAATATTAACTGTAAAATAAGAAACCAAAGTATATCAGTATGTAAGTCCATAACTCTCCATATTGACATGGAACAGCAGGTTTTGGTGTGCTACCCCAAGATAGTCAGTGGCCCCATCTGGCCACCCCGATCAATCATTTCTGCAGGCACCACTAACTTTTAGGGTCCATTGCAAAGCAGTTACCCTACTGTATGTTTGCTGAGACTCACTGTTGCTGGCAGGGGATGTACTGGTCTTCTATACGTCTGCAGAAGGCGTAGTAGGTTCCTCTGGTGTTATGGTTATAGCATTTAAGACGGCCCTCTGTAGCACCTGATGACAGAAGAGAAATTCATGGAGCCCTTTTAGCATTTAATGGGATTGTTAACCTATTCTAATATTGTCTCTTTTCTTAACAAAGTAGTGTGACGAAACATGACAACAAATACATGAAAGAACAGGACACTCACTTGGTCCATACAGTTTGAAACACTGGTTTGGCCTCTGTGGACACTGGCCGTTGTAGCAGTATCCCAGGTCTCCATCGCATGGGAGGCCATTCACCGCAAAGACATCCTCAGGACAGGTGGTGCTCTTCCCATCGCAGTACTCTGCCAGATCACATTCATCCTGCTTTCTGCGGCACTCCGTGGTACTAGGTGAGATCTGTGTGGAGGTGGGAGTCACAGTACATCAGATCAGATTACATACCATGTCATAGATTATTCAATATGTAATGCTTTATAAGTATTTAACACTGTGAAACTGTCTCAGTGTATGAATATATGTGAATGAATACGTCACATAAATAACATTGCTTTGCTTTGCCTAGGTTGTGGTTGTGTCTTTCAGACATCATTTTATGTAACCCAGTTAACCGAGCTCTTGAGGCCAATAAGGTGATGTGTTTTTGGATCTCAGGATTTTGTTTGTTCAGGATGTTTTCACGTCTTCATTATGTTGTTTTATTTTGAACGTCTTGTACTTCTTTGTGTTTCCTTTGTCTTCTAACATCTTGGGACAATGTTGGAAATAACAGTTTTCACTTCAACATGTTCAATCATTCATTCATTATTCATAACCGCTTATCCTAGTACAGGGTTGTGGAGGGCCTGGAGCCTATCCCAGGTGTTATTGGACGAGAGGCAGGGTACACCCTGGACAGGTCATCAGGTTATCACAGTGCTGTCACATTAAGACAAACAACCATTCATTCTTACATTCACAGCTACAGGCATTTTAGAGTCACCAGTTCACCTAACCTGCATGTCTTTGGACTGTGGGAGGAAGCCGGAGAAAACCAATGTTGACATGGGGAGAACATGTACACTCCTCACAGGATAGCAGCAGTTCAAACCCATAACCATCTTGCTTTGAGGCAACAGTACGAACCACCGCACCACCGTGCAAGAATTCATATGCTAATTATGACAAAATTTCACACATTATCTAATAGGATAAAATGATGAAGTGGTGATATTTTATGTCCAAAAGGTCAAAGGTCAGGAGGGTGGTTTACTTGTGAGCTTGTGAGGTTTTTTTTTTTTTTTTGTTTGTTTTTGTCCTGGTGCAAGTTCAAATATTTGCAATACCTAAAATCCCCACAAGAGGGCTGCAGCAGTTCAGACACTTGGATCACAATACACAGTGAAGGAAGAGTTCATGGTAGGAAAGTTCCTGCAGCAGGTACAACAGGACTTATGAATTCATATTTACTCACCTTACAGTTGTCACAGCACTCGCCCTCAGCACACTGTGAACCCTCCTTCAGGGTGCAGGTGGTGGCATTGCAGCATGGGTTGAAGCACTCCTGTAAGGACAAGAGAGAACTTATTAGGCTGTTGTTAATCCTTTCCTTCAATATGCTGTGTTACACTCCCTTCCCCTCAGGAGTGTTCTGTTATGTTAGGTTTCCTCTGAGTTGTGTGTTTCCCTCTAAAAAAACAAACCAAAAAAACTTTAAACATCACAGTGAGCTTTTCTGCCTCCTTCATTATTAACTTAAGTGACAGTGTATTCTGTGGAGACCTCTGTGATACTAAGACAGAATTCAGTCTAAGTTGACAGTCTCTGTGAACTAAATCTTGTTATTATTTTCCTGTGATATGTGGAATGTTATTGTGCTATTTCTATACTACTTGATGTAGATGACCAGAAGAAAAGGTTTGTGGTATTGTGGTAGCATACATAAAAAAATATGGTATATAGTAAGGGCTGGGGTACATGACTTAATGGAGCTCTATATGATATTCAGAGCATTAATATAGCGGCAAACTAATATTTGCTATGTAAAGTTACAGTGGAGTAATGGAGTCCTGAGCAGAGAGAGAAGTCACACTACCTCTGTGTGTATTATAATCTGAACTTCTCTGTTTGTTGTGGTGGAAAGTCTGGCCACACATGCATGTTGGTGCATATTTGTCCTATGTGGGTGTCACACTGGCTAGCAAATCCCCCCAGATTAGCACTGTTAGCTCCATCAACACTGCTGCTGTTGTTATCACCATTCACATTTTTAGCACTGTTAGCTGCTCGCCACCAGCTCAGCCACCTCCGTGTTTTGAACGAAAGTTAAGGCAGGGAAAGGGGTGGTGAATGGGTCCAACAGACACCAACCTTCATCCGAGAGAGCGGTGCTCGCGTCCCATAAGATTCTAAAGCTAAGCCCTGTTGTTTTTTGCTAAACCTAAGCATTTCCTTTTATTGCCTGAACCAAACAATGTGTTTGTTGTTGAAGGGAAAAACATCTGTTTGCGGTGTAGTACTGACATAATGCGTTTATTTTGAAAGAGATTCCATGTAAACCTTAAATTTCCTGTGAAAATGCAAGTGTATCTTGACAGAAGAGAACTTGACACAGTGTCCCAGGACATCAACAACCAACGCACCCAAGCAAGCATTGAGTTTGTTGTCTGTGCCTCTGCTCAATACCAACAGAGGCCCAAACAGGTCTGAACACATTTGCAGCTGCTGTCACTGGAATGAACTTTGTCAAAATGACTAGTTACTAACTGCTGAGTTATGCTTTGCAGGTTATTATGATGGAATGTACAAACAAAATTCAGTCAGCTTTGTCCTCCTGCTCTCTCTGCCTGGTTAGCATTAACTAAAGCAGCAGCAGCAGTTGACATCCAACACTGAGTCGTTAAACAGTCCCAACAATTTCACAGTGACACTGAAATGGCTGTTAAATCTGTTAATAACCATTGGGTAGCGTTAGCCGTGTGATGACAGCAGGTAGCCAGAGAGAGAGAGTTAGAGAAAGTGAATCAATGTGCTGCACGCAGCTTTACAATGCAATGAGATTTTACCCATTTAAATGTGTTGATGATTGCAAGGTCACATAGAATACACAGGGATTACCTGAATTTGCGATAATTGCTACAATCACAACATTGCATCATCTTTGAGGGACAGAAAATTATTCTAAGAGACAGGATTATTAAAGTATACAAATACTTTTACAAGTAAAAAATAATTGAGATGCTGTGCACTATGAAAGCTGTATACAGCGAGCAGTTAGTAGGCTAGCTGAGGTTAACTTAATAGCAGCCCAAAGAAAAAAGCTGTTTCTGAGCCTGCATGTATGGGCTCTTGCATAACAATACTTAATGTACAATCCAAACATCTTAAAAAAAGCTTTAAGACTTCACAATAGGTCGTTGTGTTGGTCTGCACTAATGTGTCTGCTTTCATTCACAGCTGAAAAGAAGACAGACTCTGCTTCCCCTAATAATAAATGTGTTGGTGCATGTCCACCAGCCTCATTCTCATAATGCCTTCAGGCAAAATAACTAACCAGAAGAGTCAAGATCAGACAGAGGAAACAAGGTGTTGAGGCTTACTCTCAAAGACAATAGCCTTGAGGCAGATACACACAGACACATTTTCAAAATCAGTGCAGTGAATGCATTTCACTCTGTGTGCTTCGTCGTATTACCACAATGTGAAATCTTTGGAATAAATTGCACAGCCCCTGTATCACCATCAAACAAAAAGTATGTTGCGAGAGAGTTTATAACAGCGCTGGTCAACAGCTAAAGCCTTTCTCACCCTGTTACTTTCAATCATAAGTAAATCAGGTGTAAATTACATTATTGCATTTTGCAAACATATTTGTAGGCAAAGTAATTCACCCTTTCTATGATTTATTCCTTGATCAATATAACATTTCACTGTATATATTGGTAAATCTGAGCCCGGTGGACTCTGCATGTCCTGGATGAGCGCTTTTTTGGTCCATTTACCTCCACACTGCCACAGTCACACTGCTCCCCTCTCTCCACAAAGCCGTTCCCACAGACTGAAGGAGCCACCACAGCTCTGTAGTCTGGTTTGTCCAGCATGCAGCTGGGGCTGCGCTTGATCAGGTATTTCTCATAGTTGCTGCTGCTGCAGCTACTAAAAGTTCGAGGAACATTCCAGCTGAAGAAAAAAAACAACACATTTTTGGGCAAAGTCACATTTTTTAAAGGACAGGCTTTTTTTTTTAATTAAAACAGTGATGCCATGTATTCTTCTACTTCTTCTTCTAGCCTCTCAACAAAGCCTCTCTGAAACAGTTTTTGAGTAAATCTAGCTATTTTTTAATTTTTCACAGCAGACATTGTGACTTGTCAAAAGCACAGGTGTAAATAATAATATGACTCTAATGGCCCCATTATTAAAATGTCCCACTAAGTCATGACAATGTGACAGTCAGAACATGCAATATGAGGACCCTGCAACAACAGCAGCTAAATGCTTTTGTTATTTACACCTGGGCTTTTCCTACTGTGACATGTCATAATGGCTTCTGTTAAAAGAGTACTCCACTGATTTAGCATTGCACTTTTATATCACTCAGACTTATCACGTCAGACTCATGATGGACATTTTAAAACAAAACAAAGGTTAAATATCGTAACCCTAGTTCTATTAGCACAGGTTGAGCCCTCTACTAGACTCTATGGATAATACTTTCCTCTCATCATGAGCACGCATTTGGCTACTGTAATTTACATAAACGTAGGCAACCAATCAGGATGTGTCTACATGTGACATAGGCGCAACAGGCCACCAGGTGAAGGGCTCCTCCTGTGCTAACAGAACAAGGGTTACAATATTGTAACCTTCGGTCTATGTCACACAAGCTTTGCCCTCAACTGGACTCTGTGGGTATAATGGGTGGAGCCTGATGAATGAATGCCATGTTAGGACATAACACCAGCCCAGCTAAACTGATCCTGACTGGCTGAAACTTATCAGCGGGCAATCGCTATCGCAGAAGAGCTGACAGCGTCATACGTCTCCTTAGATATTGTGGGCTCCACATGTATTCGGGTGATCATATCCATTGGCCAGCTATGTTTTTGCGTATTTCACAAGGCGAAGTGTGCTTGATTGACGTATTATCCATAGGGTCCAGTAGAGGGCGTAGCTACTGTATGTAAGATATAACCTTGATGAGCTCTCTTGATGAGCTGACGGACACAGTGATGTCATTCATTAAGTTCTACAAAGAAATGTACCAAAACAGTGACACTTTATGACAATAAAAAAGCTTGGTTCCTGGAAGACTTATACCTCCTATGAAAAAAAGAACTGTGCATATAGAAATGGAGATAGATAGACTACATAGCAAGGTGCTGCAATGAGAAAAGCTAAGATCGGCTATGCAATGACACTGGAGCAACAATTCTCAACCAGTAATATCAGATCAATATGGAAAAATCTTAAGGACATGATGGATTACAAAAAGCCCCTGCTCTCTTCCAAACAATGACCCTTACCTCCCACATCAATTAAATAAGACCCTGTTCACACTGGGTTTTTAAAATGCACTAAGCCAACCGGTCTGTAGAGGATGCAGTCAACATACAGTACAGGCCAAAAGTTTGGACACACCTTCTCATTCAATGCGTTTTCTTTATTTTCATGACTATTTACATTGTAGATTCTCACTGAAGGCATCAAAACTATGAATGAACACATGTGGAGTTATGTACTTAACAAAAAAAGGTGAAATAACTGAAAACATGTTTTATATTCTAGTTTCTTCAAAATAGCCACCCTTTGCTCTGATTACTGCTTTGCACACTCTTGGCATTCTCTCCATGAGCTTCAAGAGGTAGTCACCTGAAATGGTTTTCCAACAGTCTTGAAGGAGTTCCCAGAGGTGTTTAGCACTTGTTGGCCCCTTTGCCTTCACTCTGCGGTCCAGCTCACCCCAAACCATCTCGATTGGGTTCAGGTCCGGTGACTGTGGAGGCCAGGTCATCTGCCGCAGCATTCCATCACTCTCCTTCTTGGTCAAATAGCCCTTACACAGCCTGGAGGTGTGTTTGGGGTCATTGTCCTGTTGAAAAATAAATGATCGTCCAACTAAACGCAAACCGGATGGGATGGCATGTCGCTGCAGGATACTGTGGTAGCCATGCTGGTTCAGTGTGCCTTCAATTTTGAATAAATCCCCAACAGTGTCACCAGCAAAACACCCCCACACCATCACACCTCCTCCTCCATGCTTCACAGTGGGAACCAGGCATGTGGAATCCATCCGTTCACCTTTTCTGCGTCTCACAAAGACACGGCGGTTGGAACCAAAGATCTCAAATTTGGACTCATCAGACCAAAGCACAGATTTCCACTGGTCTCATGTCCATTCCTTGTGTTTCTTGGCCCAAACAAATCTCTTCTGCTTGTTGCCTCTCCTTAGCAGTGGTTTCCTAGCACCTATTTGACCATGAAGGCCTGATTGGCGCAGTCTCCTCTTAACAGTTGTTCTAGAGATGGGTCTGCTGCTAGAACTCTGTGTGGCATTCATCTGGTCTCTGATCTGAGCTGCTGTTAACTTGCGATTTCTGAGGCTGGTGACTCGGATGAACTTATCCTCAGAAGCAGAGGTGACTCTTGGTCTTCCTTTCCTGGGTCGGTCCTCATGTGTGCCAGTTTCGTTGTAGCGCTTGATGGTTTTTGCGACTCCACTTGGGGACACATTTAAAGTTTTTGCAATTTTCCGGACTGACTGACCTTCATTTCTTAAAGTAATGATGGCCACTCGTTTTTCTTTAGTTAGCTGATTGGTTCTTGCCATAATATGAATTTTAACAGTTGTCCAATAGGGCTGTCGGCTGTGTATTAACCTGACTTCTGCACAACACAACTGATGGTCCCAACCCCATTGATAAAGCAAGAAATTCCACTAATTAACCCTGATAAGGCACACCTGTGAAGTGGAAACCATTTCAGGTGACTACCTCTTGAAGCTCATGGAGAGAATGCCAAGAGTGTGCAAAGCAGTAATCAGAGCAAAGGGTGGCTATTTTGAAGAAACTAGAATATAAAACATGTTTTCAGTTATTTCACCTTTTTTTGTTAAGTACATAACTCCACATGTGTTCATTCATAGTTTTGATGCCTTCAGTGAGAATCTACAATGTTCAATTCAATGCATTGAATGAGAAGGTGTGTCCAAACTTTTGGCCTGTACTGTAACTCTCAACCACACCCTGCAACTACCAAACACCTACACATCCTGTTCACAGACTTCAGTTCAGTTTTATCTATCTGTCTGTCTGTCTGTCTGTCTGTCTGTCTGTCTGAATTGATGCTTCTTCTTCCCTGTCAAAACCTGGCACCTACAGAACATTACCCACAATGCAACCAGTTTGGTCAAGTTTAGTTAATGTAGCTACACTGGTCTGGCAGGCACCTCTAAACTGACTCTGATGTGCTAAATTGGTGGAGTTTATTTAAAATTGTCATCAGATGCTTGTAGAACAAATCAATGTTTAACTGCAGTGTCTGACCTACTTTAACGATACACTTTTTGACTGAGGTTTTTTTTTTTAACAACTTTTCTTACCTCAGTGCTGCAGCCATGATGCAGCTATCACCAACACAAGCACAGGCACTAGAGTCATCATGGTCCATGCCCAGGTTATGGCCCATCTCATGGGCCAGTGTCGCACCCACTGCAATGGCCCGGTCATTATGATCCTGAGAAGGGGAAGTCCTGAAGTTAATCATGTTTACCACCATTTTGCATTTGTTTAACCAAGGTTTGCCATCTAGCTTGTGACACAAATATGTTTCCTCAATCTGCTTTGTGTCCTGACTTTCTGACCACAGTCATGTTCCTATGACGGAGTCTAGACGTGTCACTGTATTATCATGTGAAGAAAAGTTACACTTCCCCTTTAGAATAATATATAACAGAGGTTTAGAGATTTGGTAACATAATGATGATTGTTGGGAACTAGTTGTCAAAATAATGGCATTTTAAGAATGAATTGTAAATATTTGCTTAAAGGGATAGTGCACCCAAAAATGAAAATTCAGCCATTATCTACTCACCCATATGCTGATGGAGACCCTGGTGAAGTTTTAGAGTCCTCACATCCCTTGCGGAGATCGGCGGGGGGAGCGGCTAGCACACCTAATGGCTGATGACGCCCCAGACTAACGTCCAAGAACACAAAATTGAAACCACAAAATATCTCCAACATGGTCATCCATAGTGATCCAAGTGTCCTGAAGCCCCGACATAAAAAGTTGTTTTGAGAAACGTCATTTGAACTCTGTTTTTAGCCTCACTGTAGCCTGTAGCTCTGACTGCTTCTCTGTGCTCCGCGCTCACGTGTGCGCGCTCAGGGTGATCGGTGATCTCTGAAGAGCAGCAATCTCGTCAGTACTGATGTCCAGATTCTCAAATGCAGGCATCGCCAATTCCCAGTCTGAGCAGCCAAGACTTTCCTCATCCATTGGCATTGCTTTGCATTTGAAACAACTACACCACCAGGTTTCCAGTGCTCGACTCCAGTATTCTGCGGCTGGCTGAGGGTTAGGCTCATGAGCTGCAGCGGCTGCTTCATCCAGTAGCCTCAGTTCCGTCCTTATACTCGGGCTCAAACAAATACAGCTCAACAAAGAAATGCTGTTCCTCCTCAATTTCCTCTTCCTCTTCAGACATGTTGGGCTGTTCTTTGCTAAAAGACCGTAGTGCAAATTATCTTTTAGCTACTGTGGTTACTGTTGTCTCTCCCTGCGGTACATGTATCACGTGATGTAAACACGGGCAAGCAAAGCTCATGCTTTCGCTGGTCTCGCGCAAGCACGCACACGTGAGCGCGGAGCACAGAGAAGCAGTCAGAGCTACAGGCTACAGTGAGGCTAAAAACAGAGTTCATATGACGTTTTTCGAAACAACTTTTTATGTCAGGGCTTCAGGACACTTGGATCACTACGGATGAGCAGCAGCATATTTTGTGGTTTCAATTTTGTGTTCTTGGACGTTAGTCTGGGGCGCCGTCAGCCATTAGGTGTGCTAGCCGCTCCCCCCGCCGATCTCCGCAAGGGATGTGAGGACTCTAAAACTTCACCTGAGCCTCCGTCGGCATATGGGTGAGTAGATAATGGATGAATTTTCATTTTTGGGTGCACTATCCCTTTAAGTTCTGACACTAAAATAAATTTGCAGCGGAAGCTGGAGAGTCAAATACATGGACCCAGATCTGCTTCCCTTTTTGCACTTATTGATATTTTGGCTGCCTTTAGATTTTGTAACTCATGCTGTAACAAGTCAACAGCCATGCTAGTGGCACTGTATGGGTGTACTTAGGCACAGTGTTGCCTTGGGCTAAATTGTAACCACAACAACTTTAACATGCTAATGTGTAGCAGGTAGTTTTCAACATCTTACTTTATAGTATTAGCATGCTAACCCATAGTGCGGCTGAGACTGATGGAGATGGCTGTTTTTGCAGGTTTGGGGTCAAAGTTGGACAGATTAAATATTTTACCTGGTGGTGGCACTAGATGAAAAGTTAATGTATAACTAAAGTTATTACAATACATCCTGGGGGAGACATGAATGTAGCCTATAAGAGACAGAGCGCAACGCGTCATAATCTAAAAGCCACGCCCCCAAAGGGGAAACGAGGCCTGCTTTCCCCTCCGCTTCTTCGCTCACTTTGCTGTCATTCTGCCTCCGCAGCCGCGCCTTCAAGTCTCCACGACTGAATTGCTAGCTAGCTAGCTAAAATTATTAGCTATATCTAGCTAATAATTAGCTAATAATAAGATGGCAAAGGATTATTTTAGCACACTATGCCTACCAGATTGATATGGTAGGCATTGATAAGCTTAATATTGCTGGTCTACCTCAGTGTTCTCCTTACCTTGCTTGTCTTTGAAGAAACATGATATGGAGATTCTTTTTTAAGAAGATGAGCATTTCGGCATGCCCAGCCGTCAGGCTGCCATCTTCAAATCTAAACTCAAAACTCATCTGTTCAGACTTGCTTACTCTCTCTAAACTGCTTCACACGGTCCCCCCTCCCTTTTTATTGTTTGTTGTCTTTTATCTTGTATTTTATATCTTTGTTTTTATATTTTCTGTACAGTGACCTTGGGTGTCCTGAAAGGCGCTTTCAAATAAAATGTATTATTATTATTATTATTATTACTACCGGCACACGTTGTTGTTTTGAGACATGCCTCTACATGCTGGTAGATTGATAGAAGTGCTAGAGTGGACCACTGGAATGGACTGCTTGAATCGCGGAGCGCTGGGCACAATTTTAACAGAAGGTGCATTCATCGACTGTCAATGCTTTAGCTTAACATACATAAATACAGTTAACTGTTACTCTAACAAATACATTTGGAGGGTTTGACAAAGTGTTTGCTGCACACATAGGCATACCGAGTGTCAGGATCCCAAAATTTCTTCCCTGTTGAAGCCTCACGTTTTATTGTGTGTCTACTTTTGTCTTCTACAAGGTTACGTTTTTCTGCTCGGCAGCTGGTGAAAGCTAAGCTCTGGGTTTTTATTGGCCGTGCAGCCCACCACACAGCAACTTTTCGGCATTTGGACTTAGGGAAAACTCAACAGGCTGGAAATGGAGGGGAAAGCGTGAGGGGAAAGCGGGCCTCGTTTCCCCTTTAGGGGCGTGGCTTTCAGATTATGACGCGCTGCGCTCTGTCTCTATGTTCAACATCCCTTAGTTATTGTGATTTTTCACTTCAAACCATACATTGCAACCTAATGTTGGTGCGAAAGAAAAACTCAGAGGGTCACCAAAGTTATTAGGATACATTGTCCGGGGACCATAAATGTCTGTACAAAATGATATGGTAATCCATCCCATACTTATTGAGGTATTTCAGTTCTGACCAAAGTGGTGGACTGACTGACAGGAAGACAATGCCATCCACAGTTTTCTGAGAATGGTGAAGGCATGACCTGCCCTACTTCCTTTCTGACTGGCCAGTACATTGCCTTCTTTGGATGGGTTCATTAGATTTAGGCAAGAGAAGTGAGATTGGTAAAAGATAGGTAAGAATGTCAGGGTAAACCAATCAGAGTAAAGCAGAGTAAGGCAGAGCAGAACGTGAACGTGGCTTAATATGCATTCCTTGGTTGCTAACATTACACCTAGCCAAGACTGTATGGTGCACAAGATAAAGCAACCAAATAACAGACAGAACAAATCTTTCTTTCTCTCACAAACACCTTACCTCTATTACTCCAACAGAATGACCTGAGCAAAGAGTCCCAATGTAGGCCAGTCCCACAGTAGCTCCTTCAAAGTCAATACCACTGAAAGACAAGTAATGACAATATAAGAAACACTCACACATGAATCGTGCCAAAACCATACCTATGGTGTTCATCTAACAATCCACATCCACATCTCTTCATACTCTGAACCTCATTTGCCAGAATTTCTTTCTGCAAAAGACCATGTTTTGGGGTTACAATCCCCCTGGAAAAGCAGGGATATCTATATCAAAAACAACGTAGCGATATCTTGATAAAGAAAACAGCTGTTTTTTGTGGTACTATCCCCGCTGAAAAATAGTCATTAATCACTATAAAACACCTACATTTGGGGCTAAAAAGCCCCGGAAAAATGCCATGGCCATGCCATAGGTCACTGAAAAACACCCATGTTTGGTGTCTAAAAAGCCAGCGGAAACACATCCATGGGTTGCTAAACCACAACCCACATCTGGGTGCTAAAAAGCTGCAGAAAAAAAGGGGGTCGTTAAAAATCACCCACATCGGTGCCTAAAAAGCCGCTGGAAACACAGCAATGACTCATTAAATTAAACCAGTTTTGTTGTTTGTTGGTCTTGAACCTGTCTGTAGCTTGGCAAGCATCTTGTGCCTAGGTGTCATGCCATCCATCAGCATCATCATCACCCCTCCACCTCCCGAAGCCAGCTCATAAACTACGTCACATTAGAAACACTGATGTGCCTATGAAATGTACAAGTGTAACCTTTTTCGGTTTTTCAGATATGTAAAACGCCATCTGCAGTTCTGTAGCTTTCATTTGGTTACCTCTTCTCTTGATTTCCTCATGAGTCCACAGAAAGTAAACAACGTTGCCACTCTTACAAAGGCATGATTTGGTTATGAAATGACTTACCAGGTCAACATGACCTAAACTGGCACTATCGGGTGTGACAAAACAACCAAGTATTTTAAAGCCTCTGTTCCAAAATGTTCCATTTGGCTGTTTGTGGGGAGGAGAGTTTCTTCTGGCATCAACAACAAGTTTCAAACAATTAAGGCTGGCAGCTCTTGTAAGCCAAAGTAACTTTGAAATACATGTTTGTTCAGCTTATCGAGGCGTAGCTGACATGCCTTCTTGTCGTGAATGGAGTGATACAGGCTATTGTTTAAGGGGTGTTAATGCTGCATGGGGGAAACTGTGTCTGACTATCATTTCACAGACTACTGTTGAAAACTATTATGGTTCAATGTGCAAGTACACGAAATCACACAGGCATGATGTGGAAACAAAGTCGTTAAACTTGTGAAACTCAACGTGACTGGTTTTGCAGTTTTAAGATGAGAACCAGGGTTTACAGTTTCCTTCTGCTTAACAAGAAATATAAACTGCAGCGGCACGGAAGAGGAGAGTCCACACTGTAAGGCTCTGAGATAACATATCCTCTTTCTCCTGCTTAGATGTGGCAAATTTACATCTCACAGATACTTAATAAGATACAGTCTCTAGCCTTGTTTGATATCTAGTGTCGGAAAACAATTATAGCCCATTTTGTCTACTTATCGAGACTGCTCATACCTGATGAGATGTGCGTTGTCATGCTTTTTCCTTTTTATCAGGTCACTGTTCCTCCAATTCATAAAAGCATTTAGGTTGGCCCCAGCTGGGGGGGTCACACTGATCAAGTCCCCATTGGTCCAGACTTCCAGTCCTACCAGAGCAATGAAGGTCCTCAAGGGCTTGTATGCCTGCAAGCAAGCAGGACATCACCAGAAAGAAACCATAAGAAAGGTTTCATCCACACTGCTAACTTCAGTCAAAAACAGGATGACTGCATGTCGTCACAAAAATGACACATAAAATACAGCTGATTGTTGGTTATGTGTCATTTGTGCTCTGGAATTTGCCAAGAAATAGCAAATGATCTGACTCACCATGTTGACAAAGTTGACAATTTCAAATATCCTCTTTCTGAGCTTTGCCTCATCTCTCTTCATCTTCGTGTACTGAAACATCATATTAGAGCAAGGTCACGTCCTGTCTATCAGCAGTTGGTCATTATAAATATCCCATGATTTATAATCGCAAACTGATTATGACCAGAATAACAATTTGTGATTCTTATCGGACCCAAAAAGTTAGAAAAGCATTTTATGTCTACAGACATTTACCAACATCAGAAAGATAACTTTGGTCGTGTCATTCACAATAAAAAGTGCAGGATTAGCCCAAAAAATATTTCCTCTGGGTTTCACAGTAAATTTCCGTGTGTGTATCTTACCGCACGATCATCAGCAACGAGGTACAGCTCAATGTATTTCTGTTGCTGGACGATAGATATGCCCTGGAGGACAAAAGAAGGAAGCATATAAAGACACCTTTTAGCCTCTTAAAGCTTTAAATTTGTCAGACTTGTCTTGTCTTGTCATGTAATTAGACCGAATGTGTTATGACAGCAGTGGTGTTACCGCTGATCTGGAGCGGCTCCGGCTTGTTGGGGGTTCGAAGTCGCTACTCCAGCTGGTGTTGGTGACACCACAAACTGCAGGCGTGTAGGTCTTGTTGTCAAAAGTCATCACCGCATGATCCCCCTCATCCCCATCAGATAGGGGCTCAATCAGGTACCTCTGGGCAGACGTCCTGAAGTAACCTCTAAACCAAAATTATGACAAGTAGTCTTTAAGACAGAATAAATATCGCTCTAAGGCAGGAATAAATCAGTTGAGTCACACTTCACTGAGTGGAGCCAAAAGTCCCCTTTTTTCTTTTTGTTTTTTTCTCTTAGGAGCAGGTAAGCTACCTTACAATCATACATGAACATGAACTTAAAATTGGGATATGGTTGTAGCTGCTCATAATTTAACCTCTATATATCATATACAGTAACGTATTTTAATCCAGTGGGGTCCGGATGGGGCCACTGAAAATCTTGGGGTGGCACACCAAAGCTTAAAGCTGTAACTGAATTTCAAGAATTTGATTATGCTTTTATATAGGGTAACTGAAAACTATGTTAATATGGAGAGTTAAGGAATTGCATACTGATAAACTTTAATTGCTAATTTTACAGTTAACCCTTTGGAACCTGAAGTGACATCACTTTTCTTGTGCTGCTTTCAGATGCCTTTCACATGTTTTTAACCCTTTGAACTCCCACACATATCCCACAAATTGCCAAACAAATAAATAAATTAAAGTTATTATTATTATATAAAGTTATTATACAAGTGGTTCATTGTTCCTCAAACAGGCTGGTTATCCTTTTCCTTAAAAAGCTTTAATTTAAAAGAATATATTGATTGTAAGGAACAGAACATTAACTAGGAACAAGCCTTCTCAAGTTCAGGGGAAACTTGTTAGTACCAAGCGAATCCATTATTATTCACACATGTTGAGTTGAGAGTTCAAGGGATCCTTTTGAAAACAGCCATGCCAGTTGTTCCCTCACCAAAATTTATACTCAATGTGGAGCATTATTTAGCCTCGACAAGCTTTACTGACATGGTTGGTATAAGCGTATGCCTTTGGTAGTTTAGTTTCAGGAGATACCACAACCTTTGTACTAGCTTAAGAAATGAGTGCGCCTCTTAAAGACAGTAATGTTGGCCCCAAACTCGGGGGCTGGCACCCCCTTGGGGTGGACTGTGGGTCAAGACCCTTCCAAAGGCTCACAGGGGGGCTGTAAAATGATTAATGTAAATAAAAACAGCGTTCAATGACCAACATTTTGTATGTTAATAAAGTAATTAATTGATTTGGAGGTCCCTACATATTTTCTCCAATCAATTTCATCCAATTTCTAAATGTGCTGCCTCTTGGCCAGGGCTCGCTTGAAAAAGAGATATCCTATCTCAACGTGACTGCTTTCCCCTGGTTATATAAAGGTTAAATAAAAAAAGATAAAAAATAAAATTGACATTTGAAACATAACAACGAGCCCCAAATTGACAATGCTTTTTGAAAAGGGCCTCAGGCCAAGAAGATTAGATAACACTGGTTTAATGTTCACAACAATATGTTGTATGGGGTCATCATATGTTTTAAAGCAGCGGTCTTCAATTTTTGTCAGACCAAGGACCCCCTACTACATAAACTGTATTAAATTGACTTGTATATTAAACTGGGCCAACAATAATGTGTAGGTTGGCATGAGCACCATGTTTTAACATACCTTTTTATGGTGCATACAATACTAAGCTATTAAAGTAATGATATTGGCAGATTCATATATTTATACATCGTTTGTTTCTAAGGTGGATGCTATTTCAGCAGTTTCAGCAACAGTTAGCCTATAATCAATGGTGGGTACTATAAATTATTGTTATTATTTTTATTTATTATTTCACACATATTTTAATGAATAAAATTAACAAACAATATTTTGGCAGCCCCCTGCAGTAACTCTGAGGACCCCTTCCCGCAGGTTTTGAAAGGTTTACTTGGAAAAGTACTATAGTAACAGTCACATAAATGTAGTGGAGTAAAAAGTGCGCTATCTCCCTCTGAAATGAGAAGAAGTATAAGGGAGCATGAAATGGAAATACTCGAGTTAAACACAAGAACATAAAAATTCTACTTAAGCATAGAACCTCAGTCAATGCACTCACAGCTTTTTTCTGCTGGCAATATGAATCAAAAACTCTATTACGTCAATGCAATCTGGTTCTCTGGTTTCATCCATTGACATTTATTCTAACCAATTAAGATAGCATGAGGTTATCTCTATTAACTTTGTTTATAATGGGAATATGCATTATTGTGAGATACCATATGGAGGGGGTTGTTTTTGGATGATTTAAGGACAACTAACTCTCATTAAGTAAAGTTAAAGAGAGGATGATTTGAGGGCTCACCTGAGTCCATCACAGGTGCTGATGCTAACAGATGATTCATTGTCATTCAGAATCTTCCCATGATAGTAGCAGTGATCCTGATAAAGACATGAGGATGATGACAGGGTTATCAAGGAGGAAAAATAAAACATATCTAGCATTTACTCAACTTTAGACAGTCAAAGAAATGTTTTGTTGAATGTGAAATTTGAGGTAAGTCACATAGTAGGTATGGGGAACTGAAACCAACAATGCAGAACACTTACTATGTCATTCGGAGTTTTGGTGACTCGAGTCCCATCTTCTTGGTAGTAAGTTTCAGTGTAGTCTTTGGTGAGTAATTCACTGATGATGCAAAAATATAAAAATAAATGGCCATCATGTCATAATGTCCCTACGTCCTATATGATTCATCAGGCTTTGTTTTTGGCTCTGACACAACACACCAAATATTCATATTGAAAATAAGTGAATTCAGCAGTTTACAGCAAATGTGTGACATGGGAAATCTGATAGTGAGGCTGTAAAAATAGAAATAACATGGCCTTCAATGTGTCTGCTGGCAAAGATACAAACTAATGACATGAGAGCCACAGGTTTTGTAAAAACGAGAAAAAAAAGAAACGAGAAGTAAAACAAGGAAGTAGCACTGAGACATTGTTTTAAACATTGACTCAACTTCTTACTATGTTAAGACTTGCTTTTTCCCAGGCATCATAATCTATTGAACCAACAACAGTGGATCTATTCACGTCTCCTCTGAGTGAAGGTTAATGCTCAACAAGCGATCAATATTTTAGAAATTCTTTGACACTGGATTACCTTCGAGGTTAGTTATACCATGTGTGTTTTTGTGCCCGACACTTGCCAGAGGTCTGCCTTTAGGGAAGGAACAACTTACTTATTTTTTTCTAAGTGCATTTCAATGTCTCTTCCTCCCACAGTCATTGCATACTTCATGGTCTCAGGCCTGAGATGCTGCAGAAAACAAAGATTGATTGAAACTTGTCTGTGTACGCAAGAACAGTACAAATGCATCTCTGTGACACTGAAAATAAAATGTGAAAAAGTCAGATGTACCTCTGTGTCTCTTTTTCTAACTGTGTGTAGTCTGACAGGTCGGACCACCTCATAGTCCTTCACCTCTTCAAAGTCTCGCCCATGGCTTTCTGTGGAGATACAACATACATCATATTACTTTGTGCCAAGAAAGAATGTTCTCAGTTAATGTAAAGGGCAGGGGTTCTCAAACTTTTTACACCAAGTACCACCTTATTAAATATTAGGCTTTACAAGTACCACTGCTATGACTGATGTGAAAATGCAATAGCGTAGGCCTGCCCTATTTGGCTGTGGACCATTCACGCAGGAGGCACGCATTTATTCCTAATCAGGAGATAATTTATTGTTAACTTATGTCAGTAACAGCCATACTATACAAAGAGGTAATACTACAACTCTCCCACACAACTCTCATAAACTGCTAGGGCCAGCCCCTCATCAGTTGCTGTGAAGACTTCACTGGAGTAGGCACTAACACTTGTGCTGGGTTGATTGTTGAGAGTTTCAACAGAGCTGCTCGAAATATTCCCCTCCTGATCCACACTTCTCTTCCTAATAGTTAGTGTTGGCACCATGAGCTCGGACATCCAGAGAGAGCTCAGAGTAGAGCCACTGCTCCTTTGTGTCAAAAGGCGCCAGTTGAAGTGGTTCGAGCATCTGATCAGGATGCTTACTGGACACTTCCCCTTAGAGGTGTTGCGGGAACGTCCAACTGGTGGGAGGTCATGAGGCAGACCTAGAACATACTGGAGGGATTATATATCTCATCTGGCCTGGGAATGCCTTGGGATCCCCCAGGAGGAGCTGGAGAGCGTTGCTGGGGAGAGGGATGTCTGGAATACTTTGTTCAGCCTGCTGCCCCCCTGAACATGGATATGCGGATGGATGGATGGATGAATACAGGATTGGATGGAAACATGATCGTTTTTACCTCCACTAACTATCTTGCCATCACAGTTTAGCTCGTTCTGTATGCACTTGCTACGTTCATGAACTTAACTACGTACCAGGCTGATATAAAAACAAAAATATTACAGGAAAGGTCAAACTAAATTACACGTCAGGAATGTCATTTGAAATATTGTCTTATTTTGACATCGTTATATATATTCTAATCAGATATTTGGAGATCCCTCCGCCTCACTCATAGTTTGGGAACCAATGTTGTAGGGTATATAAAGTCAATAGTTGTTTAAAGGTGTATGTTTTTAATAGTCAATTTAGGCAGTTTAGCATTGAACCCCCTGTATCCTTTCTTTGTGCTAACTAACTATACTAAATATGTCCCATGCATTTTCCAAACTAAATGACCACATACAGTGTTTGGCATGCTTCCAATCAGCTTGGGTGCAAAGAGTGATCAGTTAAGTATCGTATAGTTAACATCTGTGACTACAGTCAACAGAAAAGCCACATGAATGAGATCTGAGAAATATTGTTAGTAACTATCATACAGTTCATCAAGCCCAACATCCCACTGACCTAGCTTTCCTTTCAGAGTTTGAGGATATGTTTCAGTATAGTGCTGCCAATAGTGATCTAATAGCAGAGCATGAGCAACTAAATTTGTTATCACCCATCTTGTCAACTCAGTCACTTATGTTAATAAATCCAAATTGTGTTCATGTTTGTGTCAGAAATGTCATGTTTTAATACACCACTGCAGGGATAAAATTCTGTTTTCTGATTTCTTCTTCAGTTCTTTACATTGTGGTTTGTTTTTAAGTGAACAAGAGTAATAGCAAGCACCAGCGCCTCCAAAACTCACTTATGAGCATGTTATATCTCGTTTTCAAGAATCAAAGCATAAAAATGACATGTTCAAACATGAGATTTGTACTGGCAGGAATATTTGATAGTACACAAATATGTTTCATATCAAACTATTCCTTCAAGAAACATGTGTGGAGTTTATTTAGAACCTGGTCCAATAGTTCAGGCTTTCTTTTGTTAGTCTGACACACCTCCTGTGACCCCATCTGCATTCTGATGACCCCATACTGGCCCTGACCCTAAGGCTGAGAAACTGCTCGAGCCCCTGGCCTACACAGAAGAGACAGGGAAAGACAAATATTGACCTGCTCTTCTCCCAAAAGTATAAGTCTTCTTATTTTCAATGACAAAAACTCAAGCTGTATGTCAGCAAAATGATTACAGTTTTACAGAGGGATCCTTTAAATGAGTTAATTAGTTACTAAGTTAGCTGTAGAATTGAGTTATTTATATCAGCCTTCATCGCTGACTGGAGATCATTTCAGGATGGATTAGTACAAAATTGTTGCTTAACTTCCCGTATGCCCTCTGGTGTTTCTGGCTGTGGCTCAAACACTTTGGGTAACCAGCCAGTACGGTAATTATGGGACTTTCTGTTGCCCCTGCTTACCAGCCCATGACACATTAATATGAAGTGTATACAGTATCAACACAGCACCTGAAGCTCTGTCATGGAAACTAGTGATCAGGGGAGGGCTTCTTTGACAACCTTATCAGCAGGAACACTAAAGACTTTGTGTGCAGCAAAAGTGTATGCCCTCATATCAGACTGATCAAGTTAAACACACCATTTAACTACTGCAAGGGACAGGAGGGGACGTGTCTCCCTCACTTTCCAAAATGCCACTTCTTTCTATTATACTTTCCACTTGATGTTCTCGCTAAAATCTCTTTGAAAATCATTGTCTTGTGTTTTTGCCCTGGGTTTCACCTTGTAGGCAACACACAGACTGATTTACCTTGTGTGTAAAATATGTTGAGTTTGATAGCAACGTAAAAAGAATACCTGCAGACAATATTTAGGGCTGAAAAAGTACTACCACCACCTCTGCATGTTTGTCAGATAAAAAAAAAAAAAAATAGAATATTTTATAGTATTCTCTGAATAGATGCTTGAATAGATCATAATTTTAAGTTAAAGCAATAAAGCACAGAGTTAAGATACAATATATAATATAATATATAAATATATATCTGATCCTCGGATCGGGTATCGGCACCGATCACGTTATTTTTACAAAATCGGAATCTGTAATAAAAGATCGGAGGAATCAAAACAACAAAAATGGCCAGGTTTTTCATCTATGTTGTTCATTGTTGCCTCCGCTTTCCAATGTATTGTAACCGAGCGTCTTGGGTTCGCCAAACTGAATGCAGCCAATAAGCAATAAACGGACAGGAGTCGAGACAACAGGTTCAGCGGCCACCGCTTCTCTCTTTATTCCAAGCTACACAGCCACACCTAACGGCCGAACTTCGCCTATCACAGCCCTACGGCAACTCTGGACGGATAATTTGTTTACAATTCAGAATTTGTTTACATTTTGTACTGCTGAACCACCGATAAGCATTTTGGATACTATTTAGATAAAAAAACAAACCTTATAGGACAACTTGGATGCATTCTTTTTTTTGTCTTTCTTAATGCTTTGCAAAGTATCGAATCGGTCTCGGTATCGGACTCGGTTTCAAAATAAAGGACTCGGTATTGAATCGGATGCAAAAAAAAAATGTGATCAGGACATCTCTAGTAATCAGTTATAGTTACTGTGAAAAATATTAAGTGGAATTACAGTTACCTATCAAAATGTTGGTGATTACAAAGGTATTACATCTGAATATTCTTTTAGGTGAAAAATGTATATGTAAAATAAAATCATTCTGTTGCTTTGCATTGTTTTACTGTGTAGGCATGTTCCTGGAGATCGCAGGTCAGTAAAGCCGTTGGGACCAATTTGGATGAAACATTTATGCATTTTTAGGACTCTTCAGCTTTATTGCCCAGTTTAAAACACTAGAAAAATAATCAAAAAGTCTCATTACTTTGATGAAGTAATTAAAGTAGTTACTTATTACATTTTTAACAGGGTAACTAGTAATCTGTAACCAATTACATTTCAATGTAACCTTCCCAACACTGTTAATAAGACTAGATTAAAAGTTCTCTTTCATTTCTTGTGTTTCCTGTTTTCATCTGTTCTTGAATATAAAATTTGGCAATGCTCATTTCCCAATTTGCTTGTTCATATCTTCCACCTCATCTTTACCCGCCGCCCTCTCACCAACGTTAAGAAACTTTTTAACCAAACATGGTATCTCCCAGTCAGCATAAGCTGTCTCAGAGGAAATGACTGGGATGCTCTGAGTCATGGTTACCTGTCAGCAGGTACACAGTAGTACCTGAGAGGGTGGTGGCTTTGTTGTGATCTGAATTCCAGCCTCGTTAGTGTGTCACAACACTTGTAATGTTTTTTTTAAGTAATTCACTTAGACTAGAAAGCAGTAGTTAATGGTAATAAGTGTGCTTACAATGTAACGACAGCGATTAGGGGTCACTGATAAGCAGGATATTACACCAGGCAGGATAAAGACAAAGTCACTCATCTTGAGCACTGCCTGTCTAACCACATGTTGCACAAGCAAATGCATGAGGTCTAAAAAGTTCCATTATCTCTGATGCTTACAGGGTAAACTTAGCTAATGATAGATCAACCATGGAGGTGGAGACAGATACTTATTATCCTCAAACTAATGGAAGGGACACACATATAGTGCCTTCAAGTCTTAAAAGAACATCCTCATTCATTTAATTTATAATAGAATATATCATATTTGTGTTTTAGCGCTATATTCAGGAACAGAAACCCACAAGTTAAAGTGCCTTTGAATCAATAGGAAACCTAGGCTTTAGTTATTAATTAGCCCCCATGCTGAGAGGAGGTAACAGTATCCGGTGACTTACCTGAGGGCTTGAGCGAGGCATTTAGGATGAGGACCCACAATAGGAGTGTTGGCGTCATTGTCCAAGTGCAGACAGTTTCTGTAACAGAGCAGATCTGTGTTCTGATCAGGCTTTATGTGTCTACCTGCATGCTGTGTTGCTGTTCTTGCGAGGCCACACCTTCACCCGCCTCCTGGACCTGTCACAGCTACTTCCTTGTTGACACCAAATTTACAGCACGTTCACAACCAGTCTGAACACGCCCTTGCTTCTCTTAAAGAATGCAGGAAGAATACCACCAGGAGCATTTTGGTGAAAGCCTAACCTGCTGGCCTCCACAATCATTTTCTAGACAAACATACATGTCTTGAAGTCTTTAGGATTACAGAGCAATAGATGACATGTATCTCCTGACAGTAAATGTCCTACCTTTTTGCTGGATCAGATTTTAACCACTTCTTCTTTTTGGGCATAAAAGCCATAAATCAGCAGTTTGACTCATCCTGTGTTGTGGCTGACTGTCTCACAATACTTTAGCCTTATGGTAATTTCCACATACATCACTTGTCACGTTGCCGTCACCTCATCACAACGTTTCACCGCATTTGTCAAATAAGGGCTTTAAATTCTGCAGTGGCGTGGATGCTACTTCCTCTGCTCCTCTGTCCGTCACCCACTGAGCACATGCTTGGAGTCACAGCAGAGGCTAAGTGTCAGAAGACAATAAGGCCAATGTGCGTGCTCCCTCAGCGGCAGGACGGGACAATTCAGGACACAGATCAGTGTGTGTGCGCCTCAGTAGGTGGAGCGCAGTCGAGTTAAAGTAACACTGTGCGACAGTTTTATATGTATAAAGTGTCAGGTTTGCTTTTTAACTTACAATCACTTTATGCAGGTCTTACTGTAACACTAAGTGTCCTGGGGGTTTTGTTGAGTACAAGCAAAAGGTTCACAGGGAGTACACATATATCTTTGAAATTTCATGGGAATTATCAAAATAATATTGTTTCCACTGAAAACCCTCATGGGTTAGTAGAAAAAGAGAAGAGGAACAAACACTGAATTTCAGCAGCAACAAAAGATTTCTAAGAAGAATTACAAAAGATGTTCAGTTATATAGAAACTCCTTGCTGCCTAGTGAATGTATTGTATCATACATGGAGTAAACATAGGATGATTGGATTCGCTAGATGTCAGATAGTCATTCATGTACATTAACTTTTGTTTATGCAGGTTTATGATGCTCAATCATTTCATGATGCACCATTCATTGAGGACATGACCTGACTGAACAATTGCCTCACTGTGAGTGTGGTGGCCACAACTGCACTCAGCAAAAGTCAGGACCTCTAGTTTTCTGGCTTTGCCCTCTGGGTAAGGACAACACACAACACGAATATGAGTTCAGACACTTTACAAATCATCCTTGACAGTCAGCCCAGTTACCAGAGAATTGTACACCACAAGAACTGTGACATTATACGATTCTGCAAACCACAGATATGTTACACAAATGTTACGTATCCTATCAATGTTTTTAAAGTGAAGTGAGCTGACTTTGTCACTGAGAGGTGAAGGGGATGGTGAATGGCTTGTCACTTAGGCTGAACGGCTGCCGAGCTGCAGAGCACTGTTTGAGACCAAGAAACAACAAAATCAGTTGTGTTTTAGCAACCTGTCACTGTTGTTCCAAATGCTACCAAATGTTGGATAATCGATTTGTCACCAAGACCTTGCTGCATTTCCAGCTGAGATAGTGTGACAAAAAAGGGGTTGTTTTTTTACCAAGACATCACTGACTTTCCAACTGGGATAATTACGTGAAAGTAGTTGTTTTTTTGTTAAGGCATCTCTGTTTCCTGCCTATGCCATGCCATGAAAAGTGATTGTTTTTTATCAAGACATCACTCAGTTTCCACTAGGATAGTTCTAGTAGAAGCGGTTGGTTTTTGTCAAGACATTGCTCTCTTCTGTCACAGTTGTGCCAGAAAAAGCAGTTGTTTTTTTACTGAGACATTACTGAGTTTCCAGATGGGATAGTTTTACTAAAAGTGGTTGCTCTTTGTCAAGACATTGCTGTTTCCTGCTGGGGTTGTGCCACAAAAAGCAGTTGTTTTTTTTTACCAAGACATTGCTGCTTTTCCATGGGAATTGTATTTAAAGCCAAATTTAAACACAATCTTTTCTTAACGGTAACAAAGCGTTTATTTTTTTTTTTCCTTGCCTAAACCCAGTGGCAGGTCATAAGTGCTATATCGTAGGCAACTGGACCTGTTTGAGTTGCTTGAGTTACCTACGATATAGCACTTATGATTAAAATGACCTGGATGACTGAGAATCGTCACCGACCAGTGGCAGATCTTCCTATAGGCAGCATAGGGCCACCTAGGGTGCCACCCAGAGGGAAGGGTGCCAAAATCTCATTGTATCCTCTACATGATAATGTACAAAGGTAACATACCTGTGGTTTGCAGTAATGTACAATGCCAAAATATCTGATTATTTTGTGACACTTGTTCTTAAAACAACACTGACATGCACCTATAAACTGATGGAGCTATTGGCTGCTGTAATCAGTTCTCCTGTCCATTCTGGCTGCAGAGGGCCCCTCCTAATGTAATTCTTAAGTGATGCGGGACAAAATCCACAGTCATTGTTCTGCACAATAATGGATTCTAAAGTTTATCTGAAGTTAATATGTTGCTTCAGCACTCAGTTTAGTCTGAGTGTGTATCTTTCAGAGTGACAGTCATTTTGTTATAGCATTCTCTCCTTGTGTTTCTTAGGCATCAGGTCATAATAACATAAAGAAGTATTTTGTAATAACAAGGCTTAGAGTTGCCATGCTAGTGGCTCTGTGAGGCTGTACTTAGGCAAAGCAGTGCTTTGAACTAAATGCTAACATTAGCATACTAGTTCATTTCAATTCAATTCAATTCAATTCAATTTTAACCCCAATATCACAAATCACAATTTGCCTCAGAGGGCTTTACAGAATACGACATCCCTCTGTCCTTTGGACCCTCACAGCAGATAAGGAGGATCATGCATGATCATCATCTTAATTTAATGTTATAAACTGTGGTGTCATAAACTTTTGTTTATGCAGTTTCATGATACTCATTCATTTCGTGATGCTTCATTCATTGAGGACATGACCTAACTGAACAATTGCCTCACTGTGAGTGTGGCGGCCACACGGCGTGGTAAACATACACCCACCAAACCGAGGCCATTCAATGAAGACTGGGACACGCTCTTTGACCCCATGGGAACTATAGTTCAGGACACATAGACAATATAAATGGAGCTGCAATGTTGGGAGTGTTCCAGCAGATGGTGCTAGAAATAACGGCATAGTATCTGCTCAGGTCCTCTTCAGGTGTGCTCTTTTAGCCTACTTGGGCGTGCTCAGTCTGACAGAACTTCTGGGTACACTCAGATAGATGGTCGCCAGGGCAGAATTCTTACCCATAGCTGTATTTTTTTTTGCAAAAATATTCCAACCCAAGGCCGATTGCAGACACCTCAGTGAAATGAATCAGTCAGCCATGTTCTATGATGCCGCACCAGCTACTGAGCCATTCCACAATTGCAGACCAGATTTCATTTCAGTGTCATATTACTTTGATGTGATATGACAGTTTGACTTATACTTTTTTAACCACCTTGCACCAAACTCATGTTTGATGGGGATATGATTACCATGATCAACACCTTAATTAATGTTATAGCATGCTAACATTGTTCTAATTGGCACTAAACACAAGTAAAGTTAAAAACTAAAATATTGGATACACAGATAATTTGACCTGATGATGGCCCCAGATGAAAAGACAGGGGACTGCCAAAGCAGTTACAATTCATCCTGGGGGACATGGATGTCTTTCCCAAATTTCATAGCACTGCATCCAGTAGTTGTGGAGACATTTTACTCAAAAATGCTCAATGTTTTAAAAAAGGATCCACTTGAATGGCTCTGTGGTAGATAAATCATGGTAAAGTGCCCTCTACACTGGCCTTAAAACTGAGAAAACATAATGCAGAGCCAGACTGGATTCCTTACACGCTAGAAAACTTCCTGTGCTTTGGTGCCCAGCTACATGCAGTTGGTACCCTTTTGTTTTTTTCACCCCTGTCTCTCAGACAGCCAGAGTCTGTCACTGAACGGGATGAATGAAAACTGCAAACCAATAGTACATTTCAACATCTGAACTTCCCCTCCCATAAGCCAGTAATTTTGGCTAATCTCTATAATCAGATATCTCCATACCAATGCAGATAAAAGAAAAATGTGTTATGCCACTCCCCACGGACTGTTTACCTGCATCTCAAATGGGATTGGTCAGTACTACTTGGATGACAAATAGAAACCAGAATGCTTGTCATACCAAAATCTTGACCCATTGCCCACAGACTAGATGCAGATATCTGTTTATAGAGATTAATGTCTCTCTAACTACACCCCAACAGGTTTTATTTCATTGTCAAAGTGACATCACTTGAGGATATTTATTAGATCTCCTACAGCTCCCTTTGGAGCCATAAAAGGCTTTTTACAACCTCTTTCACATATACAATATTACACACAACACCTGTAAACTTAATTTGTTGTAAATGTAAAACTGGTGGAATAAAGTAACCAACCAAGGCCCTACCATCCAGTTCATCTTGAGCTCCAGTTGAGCTCCAGTTGCACCATCTATATGAAGTGGTAGCACTTTTGACGCATGTGCCACCTGCAGGCAGTGAGGATGTTCTGTTGTTACTTTATATCAGGTGTGTGTAGCCTATGTTAAAAGGGGACCTATTTTACATGTCCTTATTTTCTGTCATTTATAAATTTACAGTGTTTCAAATAATGAGGCAAATGTACAACAGTAATCCCTGTGAGCATAAACCTCAGGCTTTAAGTGGTTCTTAATACTCTGTTTCCAACATTAGTTTTCTATTTTCAAGACAAGCTGAGGTCAGCTTCTGACAGATTTCTTTATATGGTCATCTGCTTCAGGCACGCTAGTCCAAGTGTTTACATTATGTAGCCTACACTGGTACATGTAGCTACATGCTACATGCAGGGAAACATATTAGCCTGGTTGCCAGTGCTGTTTATGTCTTCCCAATTTAGTCTCATAATACTGCTGGAACATGTCTGGTTGTGAAGATTTTGGCTTAGAAGCTATTATTGGTTATTTTTCACAGTAGAAAGTGCCTCTTATGTCAGCTATTCCCCAGCTGCAAGTACACTGCTACATTTAGCCACATGGTGATGTTGTTAAATTCTCCCTGATTTTGGTTCATATTCCTGTTGGAACATGAAACGTTTGGCTCAGAAGCTTTTATTGGTGATTTTTCACAGAACAAAGTGCCATTATAATCCATCGCAGTCATTCCCCCTGCTTGTGCAGAGAGGTGCAGAGAGGCAGCAAGTGTAGACAGGGAAGTCCCAGACATCCCAAAGACACCCGAACTGCTGACCAATCAGGGCAGACTGGGCCTCA